TGTCGGTGAACATAAATAAAAATTTAACATTGCTCAGTAAAATTTCGTAGGCGTTAACATCCTCCCCCCGTTGAAAGTCGATTCTTCGGGTTTCAACCCTCTAGTTCTTCTGCGGTAGGCAAAGCACACAGACGAACCAACGGGCGGCGCACGCAGCCTCTAGAAGTATTGACGTCAGCGACTCGAGGTACTCCATCATTTGGACCATAAAATAGTCTGGATATGCGTCCAAGTCTCCAGCAGAGAGGAGGAACATCATCTTCTTGCAACAGTACCAAATCTCCTACATTTGGTTTTGAAGAATTGGTCTTCCACTTGTGGCGTTGTTGAAGCTCAGCAATATATTCACGCTGCCAGCGCTGCCAAAAATGTTGATATATTTGCTGTAATCGAGCGTAGCGTTGCAAATTATTGTAGTTGCAGTTTTCCAGCACAGGCGAAGGAAGAGCAGTGAGAGCCCGGCCAATGAGAAAGCTCCCGGGAGTCAGGCAAAGGAGGTCATCAGGAGAGGGTGACATAGGACATAATGGACGGCTATTCAATATAGCCTCTACTTGTGCGAAAAGAGTAGATATTTCTTCGAATGTTAAGTGTGAATTACCCATAACGCGCTTAATGTGAAATTTTGCGGATTTTATTCCGGCCTCAAAGATTCCGCCAAAGTGAGGAGCGTAAGTTGGAGAAAATACAAATTTTATTCCATCCTCACTTGCAGAATCAGATAAAGATTTAGAGTTTATTTTGAAAAAATGATTAATTTCTTTAGAACCTGCTACAAAATTGCGTCCGTTATCACAGAACACCTCAGTTGGCCGGCCTCGGCGTGACACGAATCTGCGAAATGTCATGAGGAAAGCGTCTTTTGATAAGTCGCTAACGGCTTCAAGGTGTACACATTTGTAACGTAAGCAAATGAAAAGGCAAAGGTAACATTTAATAATAATGGCACCGCGGCCCTTCCTATTAACAATAAAGAATGGTCCGGCAAAGTCTAAACCCACAGTTTTGAATGGGAAACTTGGCGTAACGCGTTGCGATGGTAAGTCTCCCATAATGGGCTGCATAGTTCGTCCTTGTAATCGTCTACATTTAAAACAATTACGAAACGTACGTCGAGCTAGCTGTCTTCCGTTAGTGGGCCACACGAATTCACGAATTATAGCTAGTAACAACTGTGGTCCAGCATGAAGGTTGCGCTTGTGTTCGTGTTCAAATAAAACTTTCGTAAAATGATGTGAAGCATCTAAAAGCACTGGATGTTTCTTATCAAAATTAAAATCAGATGCATCCAATCGACCACCTACTCGTATAATCAACTCATTATGAAAGAATGGAGTTAATGATAAAATATGTGACTTTGGACTTAGAGATTTATTGTTAGCTAGTAACTCATACTCAAGCGGAAATGATTCCCTTTGAGACAAGCGGCATAATTGAAGAAAGGAATTATTTAGTTCGTCAACTGATAAAGAACCGGTAAGTCTAGTTTTAGATTTTTTTAAGTTATTTATAAAACGCAGTACGTAAGCCATTGTACGTTTTAATTTAGTTAAATTAGAATAGTTTTTGAAAATTATAATAGGATCAATACTAGTTGTTAAGTTACTTATAGTTGAATTAGTTTTAGTTTCTGGTAAATTTGTAACGTTTATTTTAGTTTTTAGTATAGGCCAGGTACTTTCAGATTCAGAGAGATACGACGGGCCTAACCACCACAGCGACGCGGTATTTAGCTGGTCGGGACTGACACCTCTAGATATAAGATCAGCCGGGTTAGATGATGTAGGCACATGACGCCAAGAGGCAGGATTAGTTAGGTCACAAATCTCAGAAATTCGATTTGCTACAAAAGTTTTCAAATTTTGTAAACTACTATGGAGCCATCCTAACACTATTGTTGAATCGCACCAATGTACCTGGGTATGTATTTCGTAGCTTAATGAGTCTCTTACAGCCTTACACAATTTCGCAGCCAATAGAGCGGCACAGAGCTCCAGCCGTGGAATTGTAGTGGCTTTGATTGGAGCCACTTTGGATTTGGAACACAGTAACCTTACAGTTACTTCATTATTGGAGTTGACAGAGCGCAGGTAGATGCAAGCTCCGTATGCATTCTGAGATGCATCACTAAAGGAATGAAGTTCTATAGATATTGGTTCATCGCAGAGCACTCGTCTCGGTACCTCAAGATTTAGAAGCGAAGGTATAGCTATGGAAAATTTGTTCCAATTTCTTTGGATATCATTGGGAATTGGATCGTCCCATGCAAGCTTATGCAACCACAATTGTTGCAAAAGCATTTTAGCCTTTATTACGCAAGGACTCAATAAACCCAAAGGATCGAAAATTTTTAGAAGCGAAGATAGTATGAATCGCTTTGTAGGAACAGCAGTAGGGGGTGAAACCTTAAAAGGAAAGTGCAACTGATCAGTGGATGGATTCCAACCCATACCCAAAGTTGAAGAAGATTCACTTACAATCAAATTATTACTTGAACTTGCAGTGGTCCCTTCTAATATCATTGGTAAATTAGTTTTGAATTTTCTAAGATTGAAGCAGCCTTTCTGAAGGGCTGCAGACACTGTTTCATGAATATGACGCAAACTACTTTCATCGTCAGTTCCTGTAATGAGATCATCTATGTAAAAGTCGTGTTGTATTATTTGTTTAATCAGGGGATCTGAGCAGTCTTCACCCAACTGCCAAAGACAGCGTGTACTCAAATAACTAGAACTTGCCATTCCGTAAGTAATAGTATTAAGTTGCAACGTCTTGATTGGACTATTCTCATCCTCTCTCCATAATATAAGTTGAAGATCTCTATCCTCTTTATTAATTAGGACCTGGCGGTACATCTTCTCGACATCACCGGTCAGGAGGTACTTGTACTGTCGAGCTCTTATAAGAATGGAGAAAAGTGAATCCTGTATGTTGGGACCAACCAAAAAGAGATCATTGACAGAATAACCGGAGGAAGTAGGAGCAGAGCCATCAAACACCACCCTGATCTTCGTCGATTCGCTACTGTCTTTAAAAACAGCATGGTGGCATAAAAAATAAGAAGTGTTTGGGTTTATAATAGGAGACTCCGACAGATGACTTAGTTCGGAGTATTCGCGCATAAATTGTATGTATTGTGATTTGACTTCTGGTTGCTTTCGGAATCGTCTTTCTAAATTCAATAGTCGTAATTTGGCTAAATTGTATGACTGTCCAAGACAATTGGGCGATTCCCTTAGAGGTAAGCTCACTGAGAATCTACCGGACTCTAAGCGGAAAGTGTGGGATAGAAAATGAGATTCACATGCCTTCTCGCTTTCACTCAATTTGGATCTTAGTGGAACTTCTTCAAGTTCCCAGAATTTAGTAAGGTCATTGTGAATTTTAGTATCGTCATCATTAAGTCTGTTTGATATTATGGAATGGTTACATTGTACTGTTTTGTTTTTGTGTGATGTAGTGATTGTAGTCATAGGACCCGAAATAATCCAACCAAACTGAGAGCTTCTTAACTTTGGATTATTAGGACCGAGAGAGTGAGTCTCGCGGCCAAGAATCTCCCAGAAAAGATCGGCACCNACGCGATTTTTTATAAGTTAGCAGCTATTATCATGCATATTCAGAGTTGTTTTGTGAACTTTCAACATTCTACTATTAAACTACAAAAAATGGAAGATTTTGCAACGAATATAAAACTTATATTGAGCGTCGAAAGATTTTCCCGGTTTTTTCCCGATTCGCCTTTCAATCCCTAATCGCCCCATTTTACCGGTACTTAATCCAATGTACCCAACGTGTGTAAGGACGCAGATTTTAAATAGATGGTTAACGAATCGATTATCTTGGCCAATAAGATCGATTCTCAATCGATATTTTAAGAATCAATTCTATATAATTACTCCCAGACAACAAAAAATCGAGATTAGACTATTTCTGTTTGGGATAGAATGCAAAAATAAATAAGTCACAATTCTTTGGGTTCAATTAATTTATCATAAAAATAATAATCTATCATTAGTTGAACACACTTGTTTTCCGCACCGTTCACCTAATTATTCACAAACTCGGTGAATTTAATTCCCATTGCTTAATCTCAACAGATAAAAGAACCAAAGAGTTTCTATTTCTAGCTGAGAACATATATCTCAAGTTGGGTGGCGCATTTACGTTGTAGATGTCTGTGGGCTCCAGTAACTACTTAACACCAGGGTGACTGTGAGCTTGTCCACCCATCTAAGCAATAAAAAAAACTACTAGCATTGTTATTTAAATATGTACAACTAAAACAAAAACATAAAAATAAAAAATAATGTATACTCTTAAAAAAAGATTAAGAAATAAATCTATTATCGGCTATTTAAAAAAATAATCGATATATGAATTCATGTCATTATTTTTCTTTATACTGACAGCAGTGACAGCACTGAATTTAATCTGACTGACACTTCGCTTGCTGCTTGTGCTTGCGTTCAAAATGGATGTTTTGATTTTTCGTCGATTTATTTTACTTTTATCAATAATATTTCATACTAAGACTGAAAAACATTTTGTGAATTGTGGTTTTAACCTGACCGAGATTTAAAACCGTGTAGAGGCTCTCCTGTGCTATTCTTAGATGATTTACTAATTGTGTATGAAGATGAAGAAAATATAGATATTTAAAGAAGTATGTGTGTTCTTTTATACCCTAATAACTACATTTGGATAAAAATACCTTAGGAACATCTTAAATATAAAGAAAAGAAAAGTTCTTGAAGTATCTCACAATCCGACACTTACATAGAAAATTAAGCTCAAAACTAATTTTTTTTTTTTTTTTTATAAGTGGCGTTAATTTCATTAAATTTTTAGAAATCTAATTTATTAACTTAGTAATTTAAGAACTTGAATCAGTCCATTTTTATAGTAATATTTGGGTGAGGCTCACCAGAAATGTACCTTTGTTAAATTTTTCGCGGCCCAAATTTTAAGTAAAGAAAAACAATTTTATGAGGTTATATATGTATCGAAAGAGTTGATTTATTGTCTGTCTAATAATAAATTTTAAAATAATTTTAGTTACAGATGTAAAATTTTCACTATTAATTTAAAAAAAGCGATTTTTTTATCAGCCCACATTTTAGTTTCATACAAAAGTGAAATGTCCGCTCCCCATTTTTTGAGACATTTTTATGTTTTTCATTATGTATTCTAGTATCTATTGTAAGCTTTTTGGTAATATATTAAAGATTATAAAAAAAACTTATTATTTCAACCGAAAACAGAATGAATTCATTTAAAATAGGTNAATTTAAAAAAAGCGATTTTTTTATCAGCCCACATTTTAGTTTCATACAAAAGTGAAATGTCCGCTCCCCATTTTTTGAGACATTTTTATGTTTTTCATTATGTATTCTAGTATCTATTGTAAGCTTTTTGGTAATATATTAAAGATTATAAAAAAAACTTATTATTTCAACCGAAAACAGAATGAATTCATTTAAAATAGGTGAATTAAAGTATTTTAAAAAAATGGTCTGGTTTTGTATCACGTGTGTTACGGAAAAGTAAATTTAATGTAGTTTTTTCATTTAAAATACTAGAAACACCTGATATGTTTTTTTTGTGATGGCAACCATCTATTTAAAAATAAAAAACGTTATTGTCGTGACAGTCATCTTAGGTTTGTTGAAAAAGGCGAAACTCTGTGTGTGCTTCTATTTGGTAAATTGATTTTCTACAAGTTCCGTAAGCGATTTTTCAAAGTAAGTATAGTAATTGTTGATTTTAAATTATAGTCAATTGAAAGAAACCTAAATATTATTAAATAATGTTGCTTTTCGCCGATTTGCATTGCATTTGAACATACTACACGAGTTTTAAGCTAATTTCCTCACGTGTGTTTATTCTTGTGTGTTGCGTGTGTTACGAAGTTGTGTGACGTGACGCACGTGAAAGATGTAAAGATACGTTCTCATTGAGTTTATCATGTATGTATCATAAGATGATCAAATAATTTATACACAGATCATAAAAAAAAAAATCATTTGTTTACTTTTTTGATAGTTTGATAAGGTGATAAACCACAGAAAAACTACTGACCTTATTTAAAAAATATCGAGACCTCGAGAATAAGGTCATATGGGCTACTAGTGTAAGGTTCATCCCTTTTTTTTAACGCTGGGGAATCCATTTACGGGATACCCGGTCGAGGGGGTAACGGACCGGGTTATGTCGGACTCCGGCGCCTCCTGAGAGGAAGAAGGGGAGAAGAGAAGGGCCGAGGTCCTCCACCTCCCCGAATTTCTCACAGGAGACTACGCCTTGAAAAAGGCGCGCGAAGCACTTGCCCCGCAGAATGACTACCGACTAAACCCCATCGAGCTCCACCACACCGTCTACACGAAACTTACGGTACCGCAGTGCGCGCCGAAAGTCTCGCCTTAGCCGGTACCCGTACTAATGTTAAGACGGGATCTCATCCCCGGGAAAATCCCGAAGAACCTCGTCTCGGGAAACCGCCGGACCAACATTCGAGTGCCGGGCGCCCCCGCACCCGGCACTCGATAGTCCCTACGAGGGCTGAGCGGCGGCCTCTCGCACGCGCCGTCCACCCCGCCTTCTGCGCTGAGGAGCCGAAGAGGGATCCCATTCCCTTTAGCGCTCCTCAGCCTCACGAAGCGCCATGACCAAGTCACAGAACCCGGCCATGGCCTCCCATGAACTCCGGTCCTCTACCATACGGGCGACGACAGCCCGCAAAGAGAGGTCCTGCCCGTAAGGTTCATCCCTACTAGTATAAATGCGAAAGTCTATGTTCCGTTTTCATGTCAAAACGGGTAATCCGATTTTGATAAAATTTTAGTATAGAAATAAATTAGAACTTGGAAATGGACATTTACTACGGGTAAAGTTCTTATTACTACGGGAAAAATAGTTAACAACGCGGGTGTAGCCGCGGTGTTAATAATTTTTCCGAACAGCTAGTTAATCATAATTTAATACTCTTTTGCAGATGCCACTTACACCTGCCGAAAGGCAAAAGCGTTACAGAGAAAGACTGAAACGAGAAAACCCCGAAAAATTTAAATTACAAAAAAACAAAAATGCAGAAAGAACCAAAAAGAATCAAAAAAAAATTTCAGAATACTCACCATCTGAGCAACAAAATATAAGAAAGCAGTGGAGACAGAGGAAGAAAAAAAGCAAGGAAGACAAGCTTGAAGTGGAAAAGCCATTTAAAGTAAGAAAAGTGATTTATAAACTAAAGAAAGAGAACACAGAACTAAAATTACGGGAAGAAAAGTGGAAAAAGACTGCAATCAATCTTAGGAAAAAGCTTAAAAGGAGTGACAGTAAAATTAATGAGCTATCAGATTTGATTAAACAAAAAGATAAATATATACAAGAAAATCTTACCTCTAGTGATACTACGTCAAAAGAAAATGAAAAAAAAATGACGCCTTTCTCAAAAACAAATGCTTATGTAGACGAAAATTTACCTGATATTCGGCCTGAACAAAAAAAACGAGTTCAGAAAATATTGCTTCAGCATAACGTGTTAGTAGAAACTATAAAACAAGGTTACCTAAGTAGAGATACTCAAGAAAAGCGATTGGTTAAAGAAATTTTCAAGAATAGTGATACTTTAAAGAAATACAATATGCAGACAATAATGGCTAGTTGTCTGGGATTAAAAGGGAGAATACGTCACACACTGAAAAAGAAAAGAAGTCATATATTGTTAAACCATCTAAAAAAGTTTTATGAGCGGGATGACGTTAGCAGAATGACAGCAGGCAAAAATGAGACAAAAACACAAAAGAAACAGAAGAAGCAGAGACGTTATTTACTTGGAACGCTACGTAAACTACATCAGAAATACGTTCGAGAAGGAGGAAAGTTATCATTTTCTACATTTAAAAGATATAGACCATTTTATGTTTTGCCACCAAAAGTTGAGAAGCGTGATACTTGCGCTTGTAAGAAACATGAAAATTTACAAATTAAAGCTAATGTTCTCAAATCAATTGGAGTATTACCAACTAAAGATCTTGATGATCTTGTGGCTATGGTTGTATGTGATGTGAAATCTAAAAAATGTTCTTACGGAGAGTGTGCGATGTGTATAAATAAACATATTGATTTTTTGATGGGTGAAAATGATATTAACGATAAAATTTCATGGAATGAATGGGTTTTGAGCACACATGAGTATAGGTCGAAAAAGAATAACGATGAGACAAAGACTACCAAGAGAGTAGATAAAGAGAGTAAAACTGGATCATTACAAACCCTTATAGATAGTTTTCAAAAAGAATTGAAGGATTTCAAAATCCATTTGTACAATATCTTCCATCAGTATAAAGAATACCTACTGCCGATGCACTAAAAATCTAGATAGCCACACTGTAGCATTACACATAGATTTTTCAGAAAATTACGCCTGTAAGTTAGCCAAAGAAATACAGGCAATGCATTTTGATGGCTCTAGACATCAAATAAGTATTCATACTGGAATCTTGTATTCCGAAAAAGGTAATCAGTCATTTGCATCTATGTCCCCCAACAAAGACCACGGGCCAGACGCTATCTGGGCCCATCTCTTACCAGTTTTAAAAATGATTAAAGAGAAATTTCGAAAGGTGGATGGGATTCACTTTTGGTCTGATGGTCCTACAGTCCAGTACAAACAGAAGAAAAATTTCTATTACTTTTCCAAACTGACACGGGAACTTGACTTTCCCAATTCCACTTGGAATTTCTTCGAATCAGCTCACGGCAAAGGAGCCGCTGATGGCGTCGGAGGACCTATAAAACGAAATCTCGATGCATTTGTCGCTTATTGTATGGACGTGCCAGACGCAAAAACAGCATTTAACCTTCTTGAGCAATCAGATACCAAGATACAACTTTTTTATATTCCACAAAATTTTATGACAGAATGTATAGATCTTGTACCAGTTCCCAAGACAATGAAACTACACCAAATAATAAATAATGTTGACATGGAAAATACAATTTTCTATCGTGATTTAAGTTGTTTTTGTGAAAATGGACCCGAACCCAGACGAGGTTTCTGTGACTGTTTAGATTTAAAGCCTGCTGTCTTAACAAAACAAACACCAGTCAAGAAACAAAACACAACCAAACCTATAAACACAATGACTAAACTTTCAGATGTAAAGAATACAGCAGAAAATAAGGCTTACTTTGATTTATCCCAGTACAGCTACTTTAATCTTAAAAAAATTGATCCAAAAACAAATCATGATTTAAAACATACAACTTTTCAAACTATTAGCCAATACGAAGCCACTGCATTTATAGAAAAAGGCGTAGGTAAGAAAATCAAAATTTTACAAACTGTAAACAAAATAGATGGAAGAAACTCTCAGGAAGCAAATAAAATATACTTAGAGCTTGAAAAAGAATCACAAGAAAGGAAAGGAAAGAACAGCACACAACAGGGAAAAGATAATTTTAAGAGAGCAGACAGTGAAATCGAAAACAAAAGCTGTAAACGAAGGAAAATTGATGAAAATGACAGAGATTCAGAAGATCCTGAAAGAAAGAAGCCTCTTAAAGAAATATTCCAAGAAAAACACAGAACAAAAAGTGAAAAGCTTAAGAATCAAAAACTGAACAAAGAGGAGAAAAATATGTTGATAGAATTGCAAAAATATGGCAATGACACATTACACACTAGATTACAAACTGTTGCAATAGATTATACAGAAAACATCCATGAAGCTAAAAGTAAAATTTGTACAGCGGTGAAGTCATTACCCGCAATATGTGACGTTAAGAACGAAACTACATAATAGAAGACACAGACAAAACGATTGACACCATTAATGTAGATAATATTGAGATCGATAAGATGCCAATATTTTTCACAGACAATACTTTTGGTATTTGCGAAGAGGTTGAACTTTCAACAAGTATGTGCAATAATGTTTCACAGGGCCCGGAAAATACATGCAATAGTTCTACAGTCAATCAGGTCAATATTGGAGAAATTGAAGTGACTCCGTTCACGTCTGTAATGAATACAGAAATGACATCAGTCCTAGAAAAGAAAAAGAAGAAAATAGAAATATTAAGTAATGAAATAGTATATTTTCCTGAAAACGTAATTTTACCTAAGAAGTCCACTAAGAATAAGCGCCCAAAGAAAAATTATTATAACAATGATAAATAAATTCTAAAAATATTAAAAAATTAAAAGTATTTCCAAGAAAAGTAATAAATGTCTTGTTGATTAATCAATAATGCTAGTTAATAAGATAAGTAAAAGTAAAAAAAAAGATAATAATAAAAAAAATTCAAATAGGTAAATTTGATTTATTTTGATTGGTATTGTTTTTTTTTTAATACCCTTCATATTCCTTTCAAATATCCATAATTGTTATGATTTTTTTTAATGTAGGTAATACTCATGAAGTCATGAAATAATGGAAAAATTCAGAAGTACATGAGTAGAAAAACTAAAACAATTTTACATCGTCTATACATTTTGGTTAAATCAGTCAAACAATTATGTGTTGAGAAATGGGTCACGATCCGTAATATAATAATTTTATAATAATAATAAGTTATTTCACGTTTACCCCTCCACTCACTGCACTAAAGTCAATATAAAAGTTTAATCAGTTTTATTGTTCGTTTAGCTTCTTGAGTATATATATATATATATGTATAACCGAGGATCTAACTTACCTGTTATAATAACATGTATAGAATTTACATGAACTAGATAACAAAAAAATTATTGTCTGTGAACTAGTCAATATTATTTTCAGTGTGTTACATATTTCCAGTGTGTTATAGTGTGTTACGGGTTCACGTGTGTTATGGTACATTTCTGGTGAGCCTCACCCATTTAATTTTGATGTCCATCTTGGGCCCAGCACACTATGGAGAGTGGGCATTCCCCTTTCATTTTCTTTCAAAATATTTATTGAGAGGGTTCAATAACTCACAATTATTATGTACGATGTTACTTCATTTTTCTGATCCTACACTTGCAGTATTCTTATTTTACATTTAATTTCATTTAAATTAATTTCCATATTTTTGTTTCGGCTACGCCCTGCCTACAAATAGCTCGCTGAAGAGCTACGTTCCCTTTATGTATCGAATATACGAAACAAATAAAACAAAATAGGTAAGTAGGCATTGGCGGAGTAGTGAGTAGACCGCATTAAATTTGATGGATATTTGTTTATTACTTTAATTTAATTTTTATTTAGTCATATCAACATCAAGAGTTTCGAATTTTAATTTTATGGTTATGGTGTTAGGAGTAGTCACATCTGCTACTAATATATCAGCACCATTAAACAAACCCAAATCTGTTAATTTCTTCTTTAAATTATCTTTTGTCCTTTCTTCAATGCTCTTAATAGATGACATGTATAATGTTTTATTGCATCCATTAATTACAGTGGTTATGCCTGAAAAATAAATTTAATTTTATTCATAAAATTGAATGAAATGTGAGCAACAAAAATTAGTGTTTACCTGGACTCTTCATCAAATAAGCTTGATCTTCGCAAAGTTTTGTATAAATATATTGTAATGTAGCATCAGGATCGATTTTCATAACCCTAGTAGAATTGCAACAAGCAACGCAATCAGGCCTTTTCTCTGCACTAAATGTATATGTATACACACCATCAGCCATATTCAGTACCATGTAGTTGTTCATATTCACACAACAAGATGAAGCTAGTTTAAATACCTGTGCCAATATTATTCACAGTATATAACAGATGAATCAACATTTTAAGGAATAGATAATAAACTAATACAGACTATTAAGTCTATCGAGATTTTAAATAAATTGGGCTTTCACCTCTGTAGCACAAGCAGCAGCTATAGCAGCATTAGTACTGGCAACAGCAGGTATAATGTTCTTTAAAACTCCTTGGGTCAATCTGTATGTAACATTAGCAATCCCATGCTTCATTGCCCTTTCTTGGGCCTTTTCATACACCCACACGACATGCTGTGGATCATCACCATCTAAAGTTGTTGAACTACCCCATGGATTCTCCTTTGCCCATTGAATTACTTTAACATATTCGATACAATGTTCTGGTAATCTGGAAATAATATATGAGTCATGAGAATATTGAACACTTTGTCATTTGTAAATTAACAATTGAATAGATATATAGTTATACTAATTACCTTGGAGTGTTAGCAATGGTGCACAAAGGGAAAGTTTTTTGTGGGGGATATAGATCTAAAGTACACTCAATACATGCACTCATGCCAGGTAATATAACTCTAGCATTGCCTTTAAATCCCTCAGTACCTCCATCCACCATTGGAATTACACTACTCTGGTCCAAACTTCCTGTCAAATTACAAATAAAAAAAATTTAAAATGCAATAGGTATGTAAATACTATTGAAAGTTAAAACAATAAAGATGGATATGTTGTTAACATTGTTTTTTTTAGAATATTTTTAATATATGAGCAATTTTTTATATTATTTTCTTACAAAATATTTTAAAAAATTATATTTTTATAATAAAAGTGTAGAAAACTAGAACATGTTAATGCCTTGTGGCAGGAATAGGTAAATACCTTTTCCTAGGCTCAAGATACACACTCTGTCAGTAAATAAAACCTACTACCAGGAACTTTAAGAAAATAAACTATTACTGTCATCATTGTACTGCAACAAGGATACCAGCATTCCATTAAGCCATCTCCGAGCAATAATTGAGTCAAGTCCACAAACAACAATGTGGAATTGTCTATAAAAATCTTCATCAAGGTCCTGAATGGCACAGTGGTGAGCTACAGCTTCACACCCAGGAACTCTGTAATGAAAAGAAATATCAAAGTTCAAAACAACAATATCTATTCCAAAATTAAGTGTATGATTAAATTTTAAGTAAAAAATAAAAATTGGCAAATATATTTAATTTCATTTTAAATGACATTAAATACCAGATGTACATAAATTGTCTCAATAATGAAAAAAAACAGCTGAAGCACAGTGTGGTGTGGCTGGGGGTGTTTTAGCTTAAAAATGCATGTTCAAAAATGCCAAAAAGTAATTGAAACCACAAACTTGGTTTGCTTAGGAGATAAATATTGTATAATGTTTGTGCCGTCATCAATATTTTATTGGCAATGTTAATAAAAATACATAACACAGACCCTACTAAAATTATAAACGGAAAGTTTGTAAGAATGTATAGATGTATGTTTGTTACTCTTTCACCGAAAAACTACCTGATGGATTTTGATGAAACTTTACAATAATATAGTTGACGCTGACTATAATAATTTATAAAGATATAGTGTGAATTACAAAAACATAATGATAAGTGTCAAGTGAGTAGGAAAGAAATCTGCCATCTTATTTTGATAATCAATAATAAATTACAGTTCCCGAAGCCAGGCCAGGGCGGGTCGCTAGTGTATAGAAATAAAACTAGAAATCAAAAAAGTTAATTGTTAATTTAAATGTATCAATATCAAAGGGCAAGATAATTAAATTTACTTTAAATCTATATTATTTAATATATTAAAATCAAAGGTAAGATTTATGACATGGGAATAAAAGTACTAACACTGTTTTCACTACTTTGGATGCACTTAAAAGTCTAGTTTATGTAACCACTTATTTTGGAAAATGTTGAAAATCTACTTCCTGTCAGGGAATCCTTACTTTTGAATTCATACATCAATCTCCTCCTACATCATGTATAGACTTCCCCCATTATTCATCCTTTTTATCAAGATTTCACAAAATGATGAACGTTCATATAGAAAACGTAACAATTATCATAATGGGATAATAGATAATTACTTCAGGGACCCCTACTATTTGTAAGTGTGTAACTTTATGTATTTATTTAATAATGTAAATAATAATTACTGTACGTTGATAACATTCAATTAAACACTAACTCTACTCATCACAATTACATTTGTACCTTTTATTGACAAATTCCACAGCACATTTAGCTTTAGGTAGGCCAATATCATTTCTTCTGAACAAAAATTGCCGGTTCAAATTTGATAGTTCTATTGTATCCATATCTACAATATGTAACTTTTTGAAGCCCATTAAGGCTAAATCTTTCAATAATTCACAACCAAGACCACCTGCTCCAACAATGAGAACTTTACAACAGTTCATGATGAAATTTAGAATTTCTGCTGAAGCTTCAAAATCTGGATGGCAGAAAGGACCAGATCTTTCCAGCAGCTTCCTTATATGTTGCCATCTCCTATTTTGATAATCAGCCGTTTGAGATTCTGAAGTCATTATGACTGAAAAATAAATACATACACATTGAAAGAACTGAGATATTATTCTTTTAAACCACACTTGTGTGTACTTCAGTAATATGCAGCTAATCAAAACGAATATTCAATAATTAGCAATAAGAGATGTATTTATTACTTTCATTTTATTATTTTTATATAGTTTTGTAATTAATGATTTAGTATTCTTTCAAAATACAATAATTATGTACGTACCTATTTCTATTTCCAATAAGTTTTAGTGCAATAAATAAATTTATTTATGACAATAAGTATGATACCTACCTAGAAGAGGTATGTATGTAGTAGGTAGGTAGGTGTACCTTTTCTGTTAATTTTTTTTAACTTTGCGGTTAAATATTTATAAATCCTAATCGCCTTATTTTCATAGACCAAAGAGTATACAATGTAGTACAATAAGTAATAGTAGTAATAGTATTTCGCCAGTTAATACATATCTGTGCTACATGTGTTGAAGGTTTAAAGTTCATTGAAAACACTAATAATTTAATTGATTTGGCCAATTGGGCCGGTAAATAGATTTTAATCCATGAAGCTTCTCGTCAAATATCGAAACATAAAAAAATCGATTAAAATTTTAAAACGTATTAAAGAAAAAAGTTACTGCGGAAGTATTCCTTCATTTATAAATCGCAACTTAAGGCGAAAGGCATCGTGCCTATAATTTAGTCGATGAACATATGTCACATCGACTATTGCGAGTCACTGAAAATAACTATCGCGAGTAAATCAGAGTGTAATGAATGAATCATGAATCAGAATTAAGTATTACTACTGACTTTTTAAATACCCAAATGTTGACATCCAAACTCAAAATTTTTTTTTAAATAGATTAATATTCCTTACCTCCAAGATAAATCACTGAACTATAATAACGTGATCAAATTTGGATTTATGCAGATATAATATTTAGATGGCCTGTAACAAGCGCTTTTTTTCTCATACTAAATAGAGAAGGGTATAGGGACGTCGAAGCTCACGCGTACTGTCTACTTATGGTAGCACTGTCTTTGTGGTAAAAGATCAGTCTACTCCAACAACTTCAAATGGTTAGGTAATATGTTGGTATTCAATAGAGGTATTAAACTTTACTTTTATTAATAAAGTAAAAGAAAATGCAAATATACTAGATTTCAGAATTAGGGCTTAAAATACTTTTAAACATAATTTAATACACATACACACGGGATTCACGATTTTATGCATTTAAAATAATGGGTTTTAATTAGTAATTAACTTACTTGTTATATCGGATATACCTATACACATCCAAATAAACTATTACCAATCTTCGAAAGCCATAAATTAGTTATTTCAAGCGGTATACGCTCAATTCTGAATACCAATAAATTGCATACTCTGTCTGCAAAGAGCAACTAGAGACATTAATATCAGCTAATCAAAGAAAATAGACACAAGACCAATCAATAAAAATATTTAAAAAAAATGCATGTTGATCAATTTTATTCTCTCATGAAAACTCCAAACTAGTTAGGTAATTACCTATGTAAAAATAAATCAAGGTTCAAAAATTTACATTCTATAGTCGAATCATTCAAACCTGATTACGTTCTATTGGTGCCATTCATTTGTTGAAAATGGAGGCGTGATGGATGTGAATTTGTCGCAGGTCTTCAATTTTCAAGTTAGCGGTAGTGAGGTTTTTAGGGTAAGTTGAAACCTTTCAGCACTGGTTTCGGTATCTGCAGTATTTAGAATATTTATTGGAATAAGATTTGTGACCACAAACCGCGAAATATCCTCTAAAATTGAGGGAGAGACTGCGAACATTTTGAAGTCGAGTGTTGCTTGCAATTTAACCATGCGGATATAAAGATGAAGGAAAAATATTTGTTGTCAAACATATGATTTTAAATTCAGTGAGTTCAGTGCATAATTGAAATAAATATCACATTGGTGATTTCCGTAAAACTGATCAGTATCACACGAAATATACTGTTGGTACCTACAGTATTTTATAACAGTTCACATTTATGTTGCTATCAAATCAAACTTACCTTTGTAAATGTCTTGTGATAAAGTCATTAAATTGTAATTGTTAGGTGTAACATGGCTGGTAACAAAGTGAATACAAAATCAAAGGGAAAAGAAGATAAAAGCAAATCAAACAATAGAGGCAATGGACAAACCAATGAAGAAAATGAACTCCCAGACTATGCCTTACTCAGAAAACCTATCTTGACCAGTATCACTAGTTTTGGTCAAGCAAGAAAAATATTTGACTTAGCTACTGAAGAGGTAAGAAAACCACTTACTGATTTATTTATGAAAAAGGTATAACAAATGTTAAAAACATTAATAACATCATTCTCTCATTCATCTTCATCTCTTAATTAACCCAATTGCTTAGTAAATGCTGAAAGATAACATTGAAAAAGGTACAATTGATCATTTTCTTTCAAAAATATATTCTCAAAATTACATATCTATATTCTATTATTTAAACAGGGTTTGGTGTTCTAATTACCCAATGATTGGTTAAGTTGAGTAGAGTTCAATTCTATTAAATGTACTAAGTTGCATCTGAATAAGTATTATGTAATGCAATGCTTTAAATAAAAAAATAATTTGTCAGTTGTATTATTTCAAGTTTCTCACTTTATGAACTCTATAGACTATACAGATAAATCTTTAATGGCTTATAAAAATTTCAGCTTAAAAATTTACTATCTAATGAGTGTGATATTTTGTATGAATGCAAAGTTTGCCGAAATATATTCAGAAGCCTAGCAAACTTTGTATCTCACAAACGTGTTTACTGTAAAGAAAAGTTCAGTACCACAATTCATGGACACTTTGTTAAGGCTACCTCAGCAGTGAGTATGTTTATTACTTAATATAGTATTTTAATCTCATATTGAATATAAAGTTTGTGTGGTTAAAAATTTATAAAGATATGGTTGAACAGTAGTAGTAGTAATTGTTAATATATACTTTTAATAACCCTTTAAGGCAGAGGCCTAAAGTTTATCTGATCATAAGTGGTCATTGTAGCTCAGCACATTGACAATGTCAAGAACACAGGTTAACAGCTGCACACTATCCATATACATTCAGATTATGTGTATTATTATTTTAGCTGAAAGAATTGATGAAAATAAAACATTTAGAGGAAGAATATCAAGAGTCCTTGAAAGAATCTGTAACAGAAGATGCTGAACAAAGTGATAGCGATGAAAGGATTCCACTTTCAAAAGATTTAACTGAAATTGTTGAAAAAATTGCACACAAGAACAAGTGCAAAAATAAATCTGAAGAAACTCAGGTTGTCTTACAAAAAATACCAAATAGCTCAGTTGCTGTTTTCCAAACGGTTGAAGAAGATGAGAGCAGTCAAAATGATAATATTCAAAAGCAGGTGTGTTGATAGAGATTTAATTTCTGTGACCTGCTTCTCTTAGTTTATTGTTATAATTGAGTAATTATGCTTTTTTACTTTAATATGTATTTTACAATTATTCCATTACAGCCCAGGCCATTTTATAAGAAATCTGAATCATTGAATTTATTCAAAATGAAAATTGAGCAGATACTGAAGTTCATTCACAACATGGACATCACCGCTCATCTTGACTAAAGTTTAAAGTTGCTTTTGTAAAAAATTATTGCTATTGTACTATTAAACAGGAACCTAATGATTCACAGTAGAAATAACTTTTTTATTGCCCTTGTAGGCAGACGAGCATACGGCCCACCTGATGGTGAGTGGTTACCGTTGCCCATGGACTTCAGCAATGCCAGGGGCAGAGCCAAGCCACTGCCTACCGCTTAATACTCTCCACAAGCCTTGTTTGAAGAAGGACATGTCATAGCGCTCGGGAAACACCGTGGAGGGGAGCTCATTCCATAGCCGGATGGTACGTGGCAAAAAAGACCTCTTGAAACGCACTGTGGATGACCGCAGTGCCTCCAGGTAGTATGGATGAACTCTACTCCGGTGGCGGGCGGTGCGATGGTAAAAACGAGATGCCGGTACAAAATACAGAGGGAACTGAAGTCCCTCCGCAGACCCATAGGGCTTTGGCTTTAGTAGTAGCTTGTGCAGTCTCACTCCGTCAGCAACTAAGATAGAATAAAGAGGCACATGTTGAGGGAGTTAAGTACGAATATAACATTAAAACAATATCACCATGGACAGATTTGAATGGACATACCAGGACAGACAATATTCACTGGCCCAAAAAGTATTGTTTGTTTTAGAGCTTTATTTATGTAAATAAACTCAATATAACCTGGTTAGGTTGTTACAGGGGCCCACAGATATCACAAGGTAAAAGCCACCATCCTTGGAGCTATGCAGTGGAAGTGATAATTGGATGAGAATATAATAGTTGCTATACCCTTTAAGCCAAATAGACTTCTGCAGTGTAGCAGAAATGTAGTGGATATTGGCTTTACTCCCAATACCTCACTCCCAATAATTATTAATTTTGCAAGTTTCATTTTAATTACACATTATAATTTTTTCATCTAGGGAATTATTTATAAACATGAACTGGATAATGTGTGTTTTTACTTAAAAAACTTAGAATTTAACTCCTTAATTCAATTACTCAATATGTGTTTACCAGATCAGTTAGACCAAAGACGTTTGTTTCACTGGATCAATTCTTTTTTCGCTCAGGTTAAAGAAATTGAGAAAATAACATCGAGAGACGTAGCTGTACTTCAAAGTGATGGTAACTTTACAATACAAAGGTCCATGCCTCATAACACAGAGAATGTCATACAGATCAGTGATGATGAAAATGATGACACTGGAGTGCTTAAATGTAAAACATGTAAGTACCTTATATATTGAAATTAAATTATTTTTCCATCCAAATATTATTTACTGGTAGTGGGACCGCATGGAACCTTGCACAGGTAGGTATCACCACCCTACCTATTTCTAACTATAAAATTGTGACTTAGTCTTCATGTCCCATGGTGGGCAACTTACGTGCTCCAGTAAGCACAAAACATCACATGGACCGTGAACTAGTAGTACATCCATTTGATAAAACCATATCGGTATGTAATATAATGAAGTATAAATTACCACAATTATTTCTTGTTCTTGTTGCTGTTTTAGGGTACTTTTCCTTCTTAATATTTTTTTCTGATTTAAAAATGATGAATTAATTATTCAATATAGTTCCTATGAAAGAAAGTAATCTATTGGCTCGTTATTTAAAGAGTGGCCTGATTAAAAAAAAACACTGCCGCAAACCCAACAAATGGCAAACCCTTTTCATTGTGGACTTAGAATGCACAATACATATTCTTTAAGTTGTTGCAGAAGTAATGTTCAAGTACAAACAAATGTACAAAAGAGGAATTATTGATGTAAACATGGCAGCAAACATTTTAAAGGCCCATTTATGCAAATCTGAAATTATTGCCAGTTAGAAGTGCAATATATTTTACTGGTGGTAGGACCTCTTGTGAGTCCGCGCGGGTAGGTACCACCGCCCTGCCTATTTCTGCCGTGAAGTAGTAATGCGTTTCGGTCTGAAGGGTAGGGCAGCCGTTGTAACTATACTGAGATCTTAGAACTTATATCTCAAGGTGGGTGGCGCATTTACATTGTAGATGTCTATGGGCTCCAGTAACCACTTAACACCAGGTGGGCTGTGAACTCGTCCACCCATATAAGCAATAAAAAAAAACATAATTTATGTTTGAAAAAAAACTTTGTCTGTTATTCCAGGTGATCTACAATTTTCTACACTAAAAACACTTAAGTTTCACATGAAGTACAAACACTTAGAAAGTAGACTTGTATACCCATGTCCGGATTGTTTGGAAATCTTTTCTACTTCATGGAGTGTTTATAGACATCTGTTTAAAGTACACAGGTAGTTAGTTCAATTACTCCTAATTAATTAATACTCCTAAATATTCCTAGTAAAGTACAGGACTTCGAAAATATACGCAAAATATTTAATGAATTATCAGTATATTTTGCATTGAAAAGTTGTAAGTAGGTTACTTAATTTTGCTATTAATTTTGGAGATTACTCTTCATGAATGTAATATGTAATTTTATGAATACTTAAACAAGAAGCTATTTTGAAAAGATGAATGAAGTTATTTTGATTAAATTGATTTAACTAGTCATGATACATACACGCGAGGAACAAGCTACTAAGCTTATTTGTTTTTTTGTGCAGAAAAACTGCTGCTCAAATAAGAAGATTACGAGAGTCGATACAGTCCAAAGCTTTTAGAATGAATAATCCTCCTGCATCCTATGAGAGACGCAAGAATAACGCAAAAGCTGCTGCTGCTAATAAAATTACTGAGGAGGAAAGAATAGACCAAGAGAATCAGGTTTGGGCTTACTACTAACTTTATAATATTATCAGATTGTATTTTCATTGCATTGTTGTTTTTTATTGTGTAAGTTTTTCAATTCAATACATCATATGTACTAAAATGTAACTACCCACACCCTTTAATTATCGAATCGATTGTATACTGCATTCATGGATTAATCAAACGATTTGGCGAGTCTACGAACCAAGGAAATCGCCGGTTTGTTAATGGATCACTCACGACCGCTACGTAGAACTTATGACCAAGCTAATGTTTGATTTCGAGCGGTAGGGCGTGAGGAGGAGCGGGCACGCATCAATGCAACACTCTCAACCCGTCATTCGGCATTCGACATTATATTTTGTTTTTATTTTGCATGCTCCAATGATCGCATTCGCAAATTTCGCCTAATGTTATACAGTTACCACAGTCCACGAACACCAGATAGATCTTACTCAAACCCTATGCACTGTTAACAAAACTTCTGTATGCCATCCCTAATCGTGAGATGATGATAAACACTCCAATCCATTATTATTAAATCAGTCATGATCAGACGAATTAATTTGTAGATTGTTTATGTACCCCATAATAACATTGTTTGATCGACTTAATATTATGAGCAGGCGTGGATGGATAACATGGAGGGCGACGGAGAGGTGCCGCGGTGCGGGGGCTGCGGGCGCGCGTTCGAACGTCGCGCTGCGCTCGCCGCGCACACGCACACCTGTCTCACTCGCACGCGCGCGCTCGCCGCCATCCGTCGCACCGACCGCGCAGACTCTAAACGCATCGAGATCCAGATCCGCAAGGACTACAATAAGGGAGAGCCTTCGATCTTCCAACTGCCTCTCAAACCGGTCGACGCTGACGGTCAGTTTGCATTTTTCATCTGTGGAATTAATAAATTAAATCTTAGAAAATAGATAGTCAATCGCTTTCGATTTTCAGAAAACAAAGTCGTTGTCCGAGACGAAGCAAAAGAAGAAATAAACGGTTCCAAAAGTCCGCAAATCGAAGAACAAGAAAAGGAAGAAGAAGAAGAGGAGAAGGAAGCCGATGAATCTATGGAGGTCAGCGAAGAAGAACGCGAGCCCTCAGAGTCTCCGGAGAAAACAGAGGAGCGACCGCGGAATGTCACTCCGGAACCAATAATTCGACTTCCTTTCGCTCAACATTTGGAAAAAAGTAATCTCATGGCATTAAAACAAAAGATAAAACCGCATATCGAAATGGACAGCTTACTTTGTAAAAAGTGCGAGACGAAATTCAATAATGCACATGAGCTTTTCGACCATGCCGCATCACATCATAATTGGATGAGATATGCTTGTAAATTATGTAACTTTAAACACTACTGCTTTGAAAACTTACCGGAACACGTAAAAGTGGTCCACAAGTTGAAAGGAGATAAAGATTTCGTTTATAGTACTGTAAAGGCTATAAACGGACCTGAAGCCTTGGAAATGTGTAGAATCGAGGAAGATTCAAATATTTCAAATGACACCAGCCCTGATTCTAGACGACCCAGTAGATGTTCCAGTGATTCGAGTCGATTATCTGATGACAGCTCTTCAAGTAGTACTCGCGTTGAAATAGGAACCAGGAAACGTAAATTACATCACAGTAAAATACAAAGGAGACGTGAACCTACAATAATTGGTAAGAGAGTACTAAGAATTCTTATTGAAACATCCATCCATCCAATTATCCATATTTTTAATAATTTTAACATGTTACAGATAATGACGAAACAAAAGAGAAAGAATCAAACACTGGAGAAAATGTTTCTCCTAGTAAAATAATTGAAGAAAATTCATCAGATATTGACGATGCTAGTGAAAACTTATCTAAAAAACAGAAGATTGTAACAACAACCGTAGCTTCACGAAGACCAGTCCGTAGAAGAACCAAACGCAAAAACGAAGATTTTGAATATGACTTATCAAATTTATTGAAAATGGAAGCGCAAGGTTATCGAGATTCCCAGTCTGTAGTTACAACTAAGGCGAATCAAACGAAGAAAAAGATTCAAGAACCAGCTGTGAACTACGATAGTTTCAACAAAGAATGCTCCGGTGCATTTCTGTTGTTGTGTAAAAAATCTGTAGAAAAATCTGCAGCACACATGAAAATAACAAATTTTCCCGTTGTTGTGAATGTTCAAAAAGAAAGACGTCTATCAAACATTTTCGTGCGACCTTTATTACCGAAAAGCGTGCCTAAAAATGATAAAACATCACCCAAAAAAGACAAAGAGACTGATTCTAGTCCCACAATTGAATCTGTTTTCTACAAATCAAAAGACGATGGTGCTAAAATTACTGAAAAAGGAAATTTAAACCAGAAAGAGTCTGTAGAAATCACAAATTCAAATAAAGATCAACAAAATGTAACATCAGAATTATCCAAAAACAGTGTAAATGTACCTCCTCTTTTGCCGGTAAAATTTAGAAGACAGAGTTTAGAAGTAATAAATAACCCTTTAATTAATAAAAATATAAAAGATTTTACAAAAGCCGGAATGAAAACTAAAATACTAGTGATCAAACCGATTAAAAACCAAGACAGTGCAAAAGGAATTAACACACCTTTAAAGTTCCAAACAATTAAATTAAAGGATGCAAATAAACAGATCCCTGGTGAAGAAAAAATGTCTGATCAGGTAGTAGTAGTAAAAGTTCCTAAGGTTCCCGAGTGTGCCTTACCTAGACCAACGGCAGAATTAGCATCAGTTAATGAAATTGCGCCGGTTATTCCTAATTCAACTACTAGTTCGGACAAGAGTGATGATAACAAAAATATTTCTCCTAATAATTTCGATAAAGATACAGTTTTGAAGATAGGTGAAAGCAACAATAAAATTAGTTCAATAGCAGATACAAAATGTGCTAAACAAAGTGATGATTGCAATATAGATAGTAGTAATACTAATAATACAATTAGTAAACAGAATGATCTTGTTAAAGTTGTGAGTGAGTCTTCTAAATTATAATAAATTGCTTTTGCACAAATTAGTGTTGATTTAGGTTCATTTCTTTCAGAAGTGATAAATGGCTCATTTTTGTTATATGTCATCATCTTGTAAATATAAATAAACATGTACATGATTATGATTTATTTTATTGACATAGAAAGTCGGCTCCTCTGATCACAACACAATTTTTATGACTTGTCTTGTAAACGAATATGCTGCTAAAACGCACGGGTAAAGGTTGCATTGCGGTCAAGACAAACCGAGATATTGTTCGTAACATTGTATATAAATGTTACGTACATAATGTATCATAACTAGTGGTAGTCTTTTAAGCCCACACAGGTAGGTACCACAACCTTGCCTATTTCGGCCCTGAGACATTTTTTAATTGCCCCTGTAGGCAGGCGAGCACACGGCCCACCTGATGGTGAGTGGTTACCGTCGCCCATGGACGTCAGCAACGCCAGGCGCAAAGCCAAACCGTTGCCTACCGCTTAATACTCTCCACAAGCCTCGTTTGAAGAAGGACATGTCATAGCGCTCGGGAAACACCGTGGAGGGGAGCTTATTTCAAAGCCGGATGGTACGTGGCAAAAAAGACCTCTGGAAACGCAGTGTCGATGAGCGTAGCGGTTCCAGATAATATGGATGAACTTTGGTTCGATGGCGAGAGGTGCGATGATAAAAAGGAGATGACGGGATCATCTCAAACAATTCGTCAGAGCACTCCTCATGGAACATACGGTATAAAATACAGAAGGAACCGAAGTCCCTCTGTAGACCCAGAGGTTCCAAACGATCCGTGAGAATGGGATTATCGACAATCCGAACGGCCCTCTTCTGTATGGAGTCAAATGGAAGAAGCTGGTATCTGGGAGCCCCGGCCCAGTGATGGGAACAGTACTACACGCGAGGCCGGACTTGTGCTTTAAAAAGCAAGTCTGTCCAGGCGTGAAGTACCGCTTCGCTCTGTTGAGGACTCCCAGCATTTCGGACTACAATTTGGCTTTGCCTTCCAAATGACTCCGAAATTGGACATCGCTTGAAATGTCGACCCCAAGTATTCCGATACTCTCAGAAGGTTGCAAGAATACTCCTTGGAATTGCGGGGCCATGACAAAGGAGTCCTTCTTCGCAGTGAAGGCGTAAACTTGTGTTTTTAACGGGTTGAACTGAACCAAGTTCAGTTGAACTGAACCAAGTTCAGTTCACCCCCATTCGGAGACTCGCCCCAGAGAGTTCTCTACTTCAGACACAAGTTTTGATCGTCTTTCTTGCACCACGCTCCGAGAGAAACTCTGATGGCTGATATATCGCGCATCCCTCGTGCTGTCATCCGCATAGGAATGCATGCCATCAAAAGACAGCATGTCGTTGATATACAGGATGAACAGCATGAGGGAGAGTACCGAACCTTGTGGAACGCCAGCGTTAATGGTCATGGTATCAGAGCAGTCACCGTCTACAACGACGATGATGCTCCGCCCATCCAAAAAGATAGCGATCCACTTGCAGAGACCCTCGGGGATTACGTAAGATGGTAGCTTCAACAGAAGTGCCCGATGCCAGACCCTGTCGAAGGCCTTCGCGATATCAAGGCCTCGCCCTTGCTCTCCAAGGCTTCAGCCCACCTGTGAGTAAGGTATACAAGAAGATCGCCAGCTGAGCGACCGTGACGGAAACCTTACTGTCGGTCACTGATGAGCTGGCGATCCTCTAGATACTTCAGGAGTTGTGTATTTATTATTCGCTCCATCACCTTAGAAAGCAAGGAAGATATCGCGATAGGCCTATAGCTCGATGGGTCCGACCGGTCACCCTTCTTGGGGATAGGGTGGACGTGGGCGGTCTTCCATGAAGACGGAACCCTGTTAGTGCAATAAGAGAGGCGATACAAACGCGTTAGCGCAGGCGTCAGCTCAGGGGCACATGTTTTCAGAACCACTACGGGGATTCCGTCTGTCCCACTCGACTTATGGACGTCCAGGAGTCGGAGCACCCGCCTGATTGCATACTGTGCGATGCTTCGCAGCTATCACACAGTGGGATGTTCGGTGGTGTGGCATCCCCATCATCCACAGTCGAGTTCGAGGCGAAGAGTTTGACCAGAAGGTCAGCCTTCTCTTTCGCACTATGGGCCAGACTGTCATCGGACTTGCCCAGTGGTGGGAGACTAGACCTGCAAAAATTTCCTTCTGCAGCTTTGGTGAACGACCAAAAAGCACGACTCCCAGAAGGATAGCTCTCTAGTCGCTCGCCAATTCTAGCAACGTGCTCCGACTTCGCCTTGGCAATAACAATAACCTTCTTGTGGGACCTGGAAGCGGCGTTATATTTCCGCCTTTCCTGTGAGACTAAATGGTCCTGATTAATCCGTTTCGGTTTGAAGGACGAGGGTATTATATTACACAATCGAGACTTAGACCTCATGACTCCCAATTATCTGGGTGTGTTATTCGCCTTGTGATGCCTGAACGAATTAAAACGTGGAGGGCTCCTTCAGCCGTTTTTGCAATAAATCAATAAAAAACTTAACAGACTACTCCATTATTTGTAAGCAGAGTAAACTCCAATCGGCGGTGGTACTTATCTACTGGCAGTTGTTGGCACACATACCATTCCTATACCTTATCTTAAGGCCTTTTTTTTAGCAATGTTATTTTATTTTCGTTCTGCAAAGCAACAATCTTTGTCCAGCCGCGAAATACCGCTTTTAACATCTTTGTCGGGTATGCTCATTTATTTTTGCTTTCTAAGATATTTGGCATTCGTAAGAAGCGTTTCATATTCTACTAAACAGCTTGACCTGTGACTCACCTGGTGTTAAATGGTTACCGAAAGTCATTGACGTACCATAATGTAAATGCTGCAATCAAGCTTGAGACATAAGATCAAAGTCCCTATTGCATTATATAATGGCTATCTCACCCTTTAATGCATGACTACTTCGTAGGGGAAATAAACAGGATAGTGACGCCTACCCATGCAAACTCATAAAACGCTTGCACTTCAATTAATCGCATTTCTCATCGTCATTGTAGCGACTGTGACCATCCAGGTTTGAGCCTCGAAAGCTTACCTACTCGTTAGGGTACGCTGGCATAGCCTATCAAGCCTCCCAGCTTATGGAGGAAAAAAGTTTGACCATCTATGCTGTTTCCTTTATAATGTCCATGCGCCCTAGCACCAGTAATTAACTTTTTCTAATATTCTTCATACCCTTATTTGGTATAACCGTATATACCATTAACAATCAATCTTGCATAGATAAATTTTCTAAAATAACATGGTAATTGTTTTCTTAGCTATGAGGAATAGTTTTTGCAATAATCTGCACCCCTATTCAGCTAATACGTAATATATTTTGCAATAGGAAGATGTAACCAAGTACCACCATTAACTGCTTAGAACTGAAGCTCAACAGAAACTCAAATCATCAATCACCCATCTCAAGTGACAGTGATTAATTATTAAAAAATAAATAAAAAATGCAGGTTGAAACAAAAAATGACTTTGTAATAATTAAATTTATTTGAAATACAAGTATTTTCTCATCAATTCACATGAAATGACTTTTTAAGCATTCTTAGCAAGAGTATCAGCTTTGGCCACAACCTCCTCAATAGGTCCAACCATGTAGAATGCTACTTCTGGCAAATGATCATAGTCTCCTGCTAGAATTTTGGAGAATCCTTTGATAGTTTCCTCAAGTGGTACTAGTTTACCCGCATGTCCAGTGAACACCTCAGCTACTTGGAAAGGTTGTGAGAGGAACCTCTGAATTTTACGTGCACGTGCCACTGTCAACTTGTCTTCTTCAGACAACTCGTCCATACCCAAAATAGCAATAATGTCCTGCAGGGATTTGTAGTCCTGAAGAATTTTCTGAACTCCACGTGCAACATTGTAGTGCTCAGCTCCAATAATATTGGGGTCCATGATACGGGAAGTTGAGTCAAGAGGATCCACAGCTGGGTAGATACCCAATTCAGCAATGGCTCTGGAGAGTACAGTGGTAGCATCCAAGTGAGCAAAAGTGGTAGCTGGAGCAGGATCTGTCAAGTCATCAGCTGGTACATAAATAGCCTGTACAGATGTGATGGAACCTTTCTTGGTGGTGGTAATTCTTTCCTGCATAGTACCCATGTCAGTAGCCAGAGTAGGCTGATATCCTACAGCAGATGGGATACGACCAAGCAGAGCAGACACTTCTGATCCAGCCTGAGTGAAACGGAAAATGTTGTCAATGAAGAGCAGTACATCCTGTCCTTCTTGATCACGGAAATATTCAGCAACAGTGAGACCAGTAAGGGCAACACGAGCACGGGCACCAGGAGGTTCGTTCATTTGACCATATACTAGAGCTACCTTGGATGTTTTGTCTTTTAGAGAAATCACACCAGATTCAATCATCTCGTGGTATAAATCATTTCCTTCACGAGTACGCTCTCCTACTCCAGCAAACACAGAGTAACCACCATGGGCTTTGGCAACATTGTTGATCAGTTCCATAATCAATACAGTTTTGCCCACACCAGCTCCGCCAAACAACCCAATCTTTCCTCCTTTGGCATAAGGAGCGAGCAGATCGACGACTTTTATACCAGTTACGAGAATCTCCTGCTGCACAGACATGTCGACAAACTCTGGAGCTTCAGCATGAATAGCAGCAGTCTTGTCGGTGGGGATGGGACCGCGCTCGTCAATCGGTTCGCCGATTACATTGATGATGCGACCGAGGGTTTCAGCTCCCACCGGGATACGAATTGGTGAGCCAGAGTCTAGTACGGGTTGCCCACGGACTAAGCCTTCAGTACCGTCCATGGCAATGGTCCGAACTGTGTTCTCACCCAAATGTTGGGCTACCTCAAGTACGAGGCGGGGAGATCGATTTTGCACCTCAAGGGCATTTAGAATCGGAGGCAGGTTATCTTCGAACTGCACATCTACCACAGCACCGATAACGGCAACAACCTTACCTTGGCCTTTTCCTGCAGATTTAGCAGCATAGTCCCTCTTGTTAACGGCATTGACTGCAACGATTTTTCCACATTCTGAAAGGGATTTCTCAGCAATTGATTTAACGGCTAAAATGCCGCTTCCAACTCGACTTATTGCCCCCAACATTTTCAGAAATCAGCTGCTCAGTCTGGAAAATGGGCTAGCCGCAAAATAAATTATGTAACCTAAAAGTCATAGAGTATAGACTTTTTCGTCCTAATCATACACATGCAAAGGCACAGGAAATTATTCAACTAATTTCCCGTACACTATAAAAGTCAAGTTACAAATTACCGTACATTTTTGTCAAATTACAAATCTATAAAAATTGCTCAAAGCGTAAAGCCAAAGAACTTCAATTTCGGATTGAATCCACCTTTTTTTTTCAGATTGCTTATCACCGTCGTCCTTAAAAAAATCTTCAATTCATATTTTAAGCATATTTTGTTTTATTGATATTGGAATGTAGCAGAATTAAGTGCATTTATCTGAAATTGTAGTCATTTATGATGAAATGGCTTAAAATGAGCGAAATGGTGAAGCTCCGGAAGATTTTGGCAGAATTCTAGACACATTGACTGCCTGTACTATACATATACACACAGCGACTTAGTTTTATTTTCTGACACTGGTGCACTTTCACTGACTTAAAAAGTTTAATGCGTTTCTATTATTAAATAGATATTGAAACCTAAATAATTTAACAAAATAAATCAACCTACGTCGGGCTTCCGTTAAAACATTCTGATTTAGTTTCACTGAAGCTCTGCAGCTTTTAAATCGATTACCACGCTGCCATTCAAAAATTATGCGGGAATGCCGGTATTTTATTAAAGTAGATACAATTTTAACTTGATTATTTTTATTTAATCGTACCATATATGCTTTTTTTTAGATATAATCAATTTTAAGTATTTAAGTTTAATCTTTACTATGATGATGATGATGATAATGATGATGATTAATAATGAAAAATCAAACAGTTCACTTTCAAGGTCCTAAGCCAAAGTAATTGAAATAGAATGCACTTTCTTTTTAATATGTACTATTTTTTTTGCCTAACCTAATCTGGTTTTACCTTGAATGGTGGGCGAGCTCACGGGGCTCAGCCTAAAAGAATTTGCTGACATCTACTCTGGAAAGAGAGTACTTAGCAGGATCTACCGCAAGATCGGAATCGCGACCCACTCAATTTTTTTTTGCTAGAAACGCAATGGGCCCAGTTTATACAAGTTAAATTTTTCCTTCCATACAATTTTTTGTATATTGAACCATAAAATGAAAATAAAAATTTGGCTTAAAAGATGATAAACACACTGTGTTTAACACAGGCTATAAATTAAAAAATGAAACATAGAGATGTCATTTTGTACTATATAAAGTACTCTACAGACAGAATTAAAAATAAAAAGAGAATTACACATAACCCATATGTAATTATTCAGTATTATCACTATTATATATGTGTATAATCTAGAGTTAAGCCATCGAATACATAATACACTTAAATAGAATAGCTTGGGTACCAATCCTATTTAACGAAATTCAGTGAAATGAAACTTTTACGTTAAATAAGGTTAACTTCTTAAAGAGCAAGTTTATTAATCAATGGAAATTATCTCAAAGAAACAAAAATGCTGAACAGCCGAGTAATAGCCCAAGTATGTAACAAAAAATTTGTTCTAAAAATTATATTTTTATTTCGTAGTGATACATATTAATGTTATAGGTATTGTTACAACAACGACACAAAATTCGAAATATTTGTAACCCTGGAATCATCAAGTGCAATAAGATTTATCGAGAACACAGCACAGTTGCTGCTGAAGATAGCTATGTAAAGAAGTTTATGAAAGCCGTCGGATGGATGGATCAGGACAGAACTGTAAGTGCTGTTTTAAACTAAAGAAACGAAGCTCCTAAGAGAATTCTCAACATCATTTGGAAGATACAAAAACTCTGTAGAGTCTGACCCTATTAGAATAAGTGACATTCTTCTGTTTAGCGTTGGTTCCTGCATTGTGTATTTATTGACTTTTCACAGACATTTTTGTTTATTTGAAACATCTTTATGTTTGAAACTAGTATGCATTTTCGGTATGACATGGATTATTAAATATGTTAGTTTTTTAGTATTTCTTAAAAATATGATTCATTAAGTCAACAATGAGCTCCTTTATTTATTTTTGAACATAATGTCTTTAAAGACATTATCAATTTTGTTTTAAATGTTTATTTCATTTTAGTTTACAATTGCTGTCCTTTAGATCCTAAAGGTGTTATTTTAAATTAAATGAAAGAAAATAGCTAGATATTTGTGACCTATGCATTGTTGTGCACTGATTGCTTAATTTTCTACATTGCTTCTATTTAATTTCCTCTTGAAAGTTATTTAAAAATGTTAATAATTTTAAATTTACCAATTTTCTTCAGAAACTTCGATATTAATTTAAAATATTATTAAACAAATGTTTTTCATTCTGCTTTTATTTTAATCTGTACACTCATAAATATTTTTTTCAGCGTTTAAAACTTACAGGTTATTTTCTATATGAAAGTATTCATGCTAATATTGTTTATGAAGAATGGTTTGAAAAGCTTGAACTTCCTGATACCCTTGCCTCCTGGTTTAGCATAACAGAACTACATGTGTGGTTGTTGATGGTCAGATACATGGCTGAGGACATAGCTCATACAGCCAAAGAGAAGAAAACATATGTTAAAGGCGATGGTCATTTTGTCAGGAATTGCATAGTGGAAGCACTGTGGGCTGATGTTTCTAGTAGGATTAAGCTATTAGAGGTGAAAATTTAATAAAAAAGTATATGATATAAAAAAAGGATTAAGTTTGTTTTGGCCTATGGAATAAGGATGCTTGGTGTACTCCTATTAGGGAATGACAGTATGCTGGTGACTAAATCCCATAGGCAGGTACCAATTTTTCTAGTGAAATATGTACTTGGCTCATGTTCTTGAATGACTTTCACAATATAGGAATAACATTATGTAATTCAAAAATCTCACCCTCAAAAATTATAAACTGCATAATGACAATATTTGAAACCTCAAGTCACATATAATAGAATTTTTTTATTTTCAAGCTGTTCTTCTACCTCTACCTTGCATGCCTTGCTATTTTCTTGAACAAACAAATTGTTTACATACTGAATTAATTGAAAATAAAAACAAAAAAAAGATTACAAAACAAAAAACTTTAATTATTAAATATTTCAGGGTGCAAATCCATCAATTGCAAAGAAACAAGTATCAGAGCTCTCTGAACAATTTCAAGCTGCCCTTGTAGCTTACGATGAAGGTCTTAGTGATGATAAAATTTTAGCAGCAGCAATATGGAGAAGATTTTATTCATTATCAGAAAATACAGATGTTGAAAATGTAGAGAAAATTGTCAGTTTTATCAGGCGTCAGGTTAGTCTTTTTTTAATAGTAAGTTCATATTGTACCGGATTACCAGTAATTAGGTATATATATTGTTAAGTGTAGGTTGTTTAATGAAAGATCTCATGGCCTACCTGGTGTAAAATAGTTAGTGGAGCCGTCAACAACATAAATAGCGCCACACAACTTGAGACATAAGCTCCAAGTTTCAGTACTACAGTCCAACAGCTACCCCACCCAAAAAACTGGAACTGAAAATGCTGAATGCTGACACTTTAATAATCATAACTTTCAATGCATTTATTATATATACATATGTATATAATATTTGAAGAGTCATAACATGCACTCAGAATGTGAATTTTAGTCACATATTTTACACTTGAACACAGTTGACATATCAACAAGGCTCTGTCTCCTATTGTTTAGTGGAAGATTGTCTTATTCTCGATACCCAAGAAGCTTGACCAATCTGTTTATTAATTATCAGACGTAAACCAGACGTGTTATCCTTTAGGCCACGACTTAAATGGTGTCGGGAAATGAAGATACAACTATCTTATAGGTACTTATACTTAGCAGTCATCATTTGTTTTTGTTTTTTTCAGATATTAATATTAGATAAAATATCCAGTGAAGATCTAAAATGGAAACCTGAAATACCTTGGTTGAAAATTACTGGCTAGTATTTGAAATAAAACAAGTTAAATTATTTTTGAAAATGTTGTTGCGAATAGAATAATATATAAGAACCGTTCAAAATGTTTCATTCATAATTCCAATACATAACTTTAAATTGATGTAGTTAAAGACATAATACTTCTGAAAATTTTATTATTTGCTAATTGGGTAAGTCAATTACAGTGTTGGGTAAGTTAAATACAATGTCAAAATTTTAAAACTAATTGTCATTGATTAAATGTCAAAATTCTTTTTTAAGAATTCTTCCTTCTTTTCTTAAGATACAGAATACAGTTGCCGAAGCTCTTCACATCTTTGCCTTTCCCATAAAACAGTTACAACAATTTTGCAAAGGTTGTCCAGCTTGCAGTTAATATTACAATTTGGCCAACGTGTGTCGCTTAATTTTGAATAAAAAGCTGCGTATTTTTCCAAATATTCTTTGTTCGTAGTTACCATTTTGTAAACTAAATCGTTCATTGACACTGCTGACAAATCAGTGAGACCGAACGTATTCTTCATATCGTATAGTTGGAACCAATGCGGCCTTCGGTTTGGAGTTAAATTAGCTTCCGTTAGATTGTAAGCATAGTTCACGATATTCAGAGGTTCCTAGAAATAAAATAAACAATATTTAGATATTTTTTTCTGATACCGAAATCTGTGACTACACCGTCTATTTCATTGTGCTCACGTTAAACTTATTTACTGGTGGTAGGACCTCTTGTGAGTCCGCATGGGTAGGTACCACCACCCTACCTATTTTTCTGTGAAGCAGTAATGCGTTTCGGTTTGAAGGGTGGGGCACCAGTTGTAACTATACTGAGACCTTAGAACTTATATCTCAAGGTGGGTGGCGCATTTACGTTGTAGATGTCTATGGGCTCCAGTAACCACTTACCACCAGGTGGGCTGTGAGCTCGTCCACTCAATAAAGCAATAAAAAAAAATTATTTTATCATTCATTCATCATCAAAAAAATCATTTTTTTAAATATAATTCTGGGACAGTTGGGCTAGCAAGGGCTCAGCAAGAGGGGTGGGATTTGCTAACAGCTACCCAAACACCTCCAAAGGAGACCAACAACTCAAGAGCAGCTGCTTCGTGAATAAAACTACTACCAGATCTGAATCGCGACCCGCTGAGAACATCCGGCGAGAAACTCAGCGGTTAGGTTGAACGTCGAACCCTTTGCCGAGTTCAACGAGCACTGTTACCAGAGTGCCTAAACCTGTTACTAGTGTTAAAGCTGAAGGCGTCTAATGTAAGAGTTATTCTATCTGGTGGATCCGTAGGGAAGTTTCTAGGGCGTCAATAGTGACTGGCTCTTGCGTGATCAGGATTCGGGGAGTAGTCAGTGGCAGGAACGATAAAGCGATTATCATGACGCATTGCCTTATCGAAGTAACGTTCCGACGCTGACTTCAAGCGTTTTCGTTTCGATTCGAGACCCAGGTCGTCGTGTAGGTCGACGTTTCTCACGAACCACGGAGCTCCGACGGCTAACTTGCAAAAACGGAGTTGGAGGGTGTCTATGTGTGTGCGGGCCGCGTGAGCGAACACCACACTCGCGTAAGTTATGACGGCCCATAAGCATGTTTTGTAAAGTGTAACCTTGTTCCTTAGTGACATTTTACTCCGCTTACAGACCATGGGGTAGAGTCGGAATAAACGCGGCACAGTCGCGGACTGATTTTATATATGCGAGCGGAATTTTATGGAGATCCAAAAATGTATTGAGTTCAGAAAGATCGTTAGAATACTTACGAATGTCCGAGTGTTTATAGTAGCAATCTTATAATTTAGATTGTAGAACGTGTAGCTGGTGGCACTACCTCCTCCCCACGCAACGTTAATTGGTGTACCTTGCTGATTGTAGAATACTTTGAACTCATCAGAATGAGTGTGCCCGTTGAATTCAGCGGCTATTGTGTTAGTGAATCTAAAAATAGAATCATACTTTTGAATATGAAATGATTTATGAGCCTATAGATTCATAGTGATTTTAATTTTAGTATTTTATTTATTTATTTAAAATTAGACAAAAGATAGCAAGCGTCGCTTTTTCCGCGCAAGGTATTTTTTAATGTGTTACCTCATGCGAGCGCTCGAGATATTGGCCATTTTTTGTGAAATCAGACGCATAGACGATCACATGGCCTATATAGTGTTGAGTATTTAAGAGCCCAATCAAATAACGTATGCACATATTTTATAAAATTGGTAACCACTTCTACTGTCTGTGAATACTATTTAAATTGTTGTTCAGGTTGTCAATTGTCATTGGCAGGTTGTGCCTAATGTTATTAATAGGTACTACAATTATTCACCTGTTTACTATTTTGTTATATTCTCTAGTCCAAGTGTATGTGAGGTCGTGAACTCCAGGAGGTATGTGTGCCAGTATGTGAACTTTCTCTCCGGCTATTTCTGCTTTGTATAATTCTTCAACTAACCAATCTAAATGTTTCTTTGCGTCCAAGGGGTCATAAACTAGCCACCTATAAGACGAAAACAGTATATTAAGATGTTTGAAATGTCAAGTACTTTCTAAGATTAGTCGCCGCTAAAACCGTGAATCGGAAAATGTAATGTGCCGCGATCAACTGTCCGATTAAGCGACGACTAATGCAAAGCGGGCAAAAAGGGGATGAAAAGGGACAATTTTTTTTTTATTGCTTATATGGGTGGACGAGCTCACAGCCCACCCGGTGCTAAGTGGTTACTGAAGCCCATAGACATCCACAACGTAAATGCGCCACCCACCTTGAGATATAAGTTCTAAGGTCTCAAGTATAGTTACAACGGCTGCCCCACCCTTCAAACCGAAACGCATTACTGCTTCACGGCAGAAATAGGCAGGGCGGTTTTACCCACCCGCGCAGACTAACAAGAGGTCCTACCACCAGTAAATTCCCTTGAGTACGTCTTAGTTGACCAATGTTGATGATAATCCGGATCCACTACTGAAGCAGAGATGGGCGCGCTTATCCACAAGGCTTATCCTTCTTATGAAATGTGTGACTGTGGTCACTTGATAATGATCTCTTGACAATATTATTCCCACGTACCTACCATCAAATTTTGGAATAAATTATTTCCTTCCGCTCGTTCAACAAGCGCTATAACAATTGAACTCCTCATCTCTTATCTTTTCACGAGCCCCGCGACATGTGCTTCACATACCATGAGACATTAGATATGTCTATTTTAGAAACCCTACCTAACGTGAAAAATGCTTAAAAACTCACAATTTACCCACCATAATCAGGTCGCAATCAATAAGTTGCATTGGAATATTGGTTTTCTTCTTTGCATGGAAACGCATGCCTGCGTGGCGGTAACAATAGATAGGACTGCGTGAAGCCTTGGTGTATAATTATTATGTACATACATTAATAAGTGTTGATAACTATGAATATGAAATCGTCACACAAATCCGCATTCGTCATTTAAACTAATTAAATAAGCAAACCAATTATTATCCACTTATATCACAATCTAATTCAAATTTTGTTAATCAATGCGTGATTGCTGATAAGAATCCGTTCCCAGTTACAAATGAATTCATTCTTGTTTAATTGGTACCTAATGACCGTTGTGTCCTCGAATACCTAGATAATTTTTTGATAAGAATAAGCTAACTATTGCTAGATTTCACCAACATCGAATTAATTAAAGAGCACCTAGGACGAATATTAACGATTATAAACGTGTTTTACAATTAATCTATATTTTTTATTGCGTAGGTGGATGAAAGAGCTCAAGACTCGTCGTGAATGTCGGTAGCCAATTTGACATGAGGACGAAGTCGCGTGTTTTAAAACCGCTGTCCCACCTTTCAAATCGGAACTCATTAATGCTGAACACCGGAAATTGGCAGATGCTGGTGCATTGTTTTGTTGGTGCCGACTGACATTACGTCCTTACAGGGCGGAGTTCGCTCTTTGATTTCTAGAATCGTAGACATAAAACTACTTTTACTACAGACTACTTCATCACCTAAACACAAATCGTAAAGTAAACGAACATCGTCTATAAATGAAAATAATAAACGCGATATAATCGATAAATAATTTAACAGATCAAAATATTTAGTTTTTAAAAAAAATATTGAATGTTATCCTGCCAGTACCGGTGAGTTCAGTAGAAAAATAAATCAGGCCAGTACTTTTGCGGATGTATACTGGGGAATTAGAAGCAGTAGCAAAAGACAGCTGGCCGTCTTCAATAATATCGGATCTCTAGCTTTTCATTATAATAAATACTTTTACTGAAATTTTTACCATTTTTTATATAAATTCAATTTACTTACCAGTTATATCTATATGCGACATTATTGTTGAGTACGATAACCCTCAAACCGGGTCTCACCAACTGAGAGAATTCTCCGCGTTCAAGTAATGTCCTTTTAGAGTCTTCAGTCAAATAGAATCCCCATTTATCAACTAACCCTTCATAAAGCCAAGTAGTATTCAAATGATCTCCAATTACCCTTGAGGGAGCAAACCTATAAATTAGACAAAATTAATGAAGTAATCAATAAATAATTTTGTAAATTTAAAACAAAAAGTGATTTTAAAATTCGGATTCTTAATTAATATAATGAGGTCTTTGCTCATGTACTCGTAGATGACCAATTGATAATTATGACGTGAGGATGAAGATAGTTGTATTGCAATGAATGGAGAGCGTGAAGCTTTCGTAATATAAAAAATGAAATTACGTTATTTTAACTCACTGATTGGTGGGTTGAGATTCGTGATTTCCTAGTACAGGTATAACCTGTACTTCATCTCCAAAGGTTTTCCTTATTTTTTCGATTAAATATCGGTTCATGTCATTAATTAGTTCATAAGACGTTTCCCAAACACCGTGATCAATAGTGTCACCGATGTAGTACAAAACATCTATGTTCTACATGTGAAAAATATTAAACAATTTTATATACAGAAACAAGACATAAGACTTATTGAAATCATTTCATAACTAACCTTATGTGTCTCTGCTATTCTATCAATAACATCATCGAAAGCCCAAATAGGGGAGTCACAGTTCCTGTAATCACCCCAATAACCAGCCGGTGCTGTGTGCCGCTTCGAAAATCTGGTTTGTGACTTCTTCCTCAACTCTCTGATCTTTGGTGCAACGTTCAAATTCAATTTTATTTCTCCACTAACATTAGTTAAGCTCTCTGCGACAACAGATTCGTCGATGTGCGATTTGTAAATGTAATTACTTGCGGGTCTTTGTCCTATTCTACAGCATACCGGTTCATCGCAATCAGCCACTCCGAAAGCTTCATAAAGAGGATCTAGATGAGCGTCGGTGATTATCGCAATCGTCAATGGTTTAGTTTCGAAAACTGGCACCTTAAATTTGATTAAGAGACCCTTTAATTTTTTTTTTTTTATTGCCTAGATGTGTGGACGAGCTCACAGCTCACCTGGTGTTAAGTGGTTACTGGAACCCATAGACATCTACAATGTTAATGCGCCACCCACCTTGAGATATAAGTTCTAAGGTCTCAGTATAGTTACAACGGCTGCCCCACCCTTCAAACTGAAACGCATTATTGCTTCACGGCAGAAATAGGCGAGGCGGTGGTACCTACCCGTGCGGACTCACAAGAGGTCCTACCACCAGTAAAAAATTAAATTGTACATTTGGGACCGAATTAATGCTAAGCAACAATAAACTTACCGCTTCCACAGCAGGAGGCGCGGGGAGGGTTACCTCCCACTCAAATCGTTGATCGTCAAAGGGACAGTTATTCGGGTTTCCAACGTTTTGTAGCACGAAACCACAAAATGCTTCTGCTGTAGCTTGTGGTTCATTTTTGACAATGTAACTAATTATTGGCTGAAAGGTATTAATTTAGTAGTGAATGGGTAGAAAAACAACTTACTGTCAAAATTTATGATAACATGTGAGAAGTGTAATTTGGCAATCTAATCAATGTTGGGATTGTACTTAATTCTTTTGTAATTTTGAATTTTTCGTTATTTAAAGTATTATTCGTAATAAATATCGTATTTAACAATACACTGCATCTCGGCAACCATTGTGTGTGACATTATTACTAGAGCAACATCATCTTTTAGAGCTTACGATGACAATAGGTGGCGGCTAAGCTGTCCCTTGGTGTTGCTGATGTCCATGAGCAACGGTGACCACCCCATCACCTGGGCCGTATGCTCATCTATCTACAATAGTAATAGTATTTCTACTACTACTACTACTATTACTACTACTAGTACATTGTATTTCTGCAACCATTGTCTGTGACGTTAGGTATTATGAGAGCAACATCATCTTTTAGAGCTTAATTATCAAGAAGTAGAGAAGAACCTGGCAAAGTTGATTGTAGTTAGGGACACAGAGGTTGCAGATGATAGCCAACCAAATGGGGCCCTCAAGTAAAGGACATCTTCATCCAAGTTCAGCTTAGTTGTGATTAGTGCTACGGATAGGGTTTCAAACTTGCGGTAACAATAAATGGCGGCTAACTTGCCCCTTGGTGTTGCTGATGTCTATGAGCAACGCTGACCACCCCCTATCACCTGGACCGTATGCTCATCTATCTACAATGGTAATATATAAAGATAAATAAAATGCTATGTAAGTTTGTTAACTTATTTTTAACATACTATGTTTAGTGAAACAGCTCCTTTGCAAACGCCGTAACCAGCAATTCCTAACGTTATACAAAGTGTAGATATAACATTCGTCAATTCTTCTTCAGTTTGCCCAGCTTTGAGTCCCTGTATAGCAGTTCTGAAAGCACTCCGACAGATGACGCAGTCTAGGGTCTGTGAAAAATGATTTTATTGCTTTAAAATGTACTTACACCAACTGGCGATACTCACAACGGCTGTATCTCGTTAAAAGGCTTATTACACTTGGTTAAATTTAGTCGACCTTAAAAAATAAAGCCTTTAACTGCTTAATACGCGTGGGCTGGGTACGTGCGTGCTACCATAATCCGATAGCGCGTCCCTGTCTGAATCTTCGATTGCAATTAAAACCCAATAATCAAGAGAGGCGTCAGTATTCACTATGAACTTTTTTTTATTGCTTAGATGGGTGGACGAGCTCACAGCCCACCTGGTGTTAAGTGGTTACTGGAGTCCATAGACATCTAGAACGTAAATGTGCCACCCACCTTGAGATATAAGTTCTAAGATCTCAGTATAGTTACAACGGCTGCCCCACCCTTCAAACCGAAACGCATTACTGCTTCACGGCAGAAATAGGCAGGGCGGTGGTACCTACCCGCGCGACTTCACAAGAGGTCCTACCACCAGTAAAAACTAACTAACACCAGTAACTCAAATAACTTTTTGATATAAAAACCATAATGTTAATTAAAAAAAAGAAGCTAAACGTATTTATTCCGTGATTAGTATCTTCAAGTAACAAGACATATTATTATGTATCATAATTTTCTGGCCAGATTATTATCACGTAAAATTGACTAGCCTAATATAGATTATAATTTACATTATATAAATACCTACACATAAAATGTCTGAATTAACGTCCGTTTTATCTTTCAAACATCTAATCAATGAATTTAATCAATTATCAAAGTTAAATTATCAGTGACAAGAGATCATGACTTTACAAATCTTGGGAATTCCAATAGGTATCTATTCTCCTAATCTATATACCTAGTCTTGCCATAAATACTGAGACAAAGGAAAAAAAATTCTATTGCAAATAACATTTATTACTTTTACAGTGTGTTAGTTTAATACATAAATATAAAACAATTTCAAGTATAAAAAGCTTATTGGAAGTGGTCTCCATTGGCTGCAATACAGTCCTTTAAACGTTGAGGCCAGTTATCAATAGAAGCATGCACTCTTTCCATGGGAAAATTTTTCACTGCCAATCGTACGGATTGTTTTAGGGACTCCAAATTATCATGGCGTTTAGAGCAAACCGTACTTTCTAAAACTGACCATAAATCATAATCTAGAGGATTAAGATCGGGACTAGACGACGGCCAGTCTTCAGCTCTGATGAAGTCCGAAACGTTCGTTTCCAACCAAGACTGCGTAGACCGAGCTTTATGATCTGGCGCCGAGTCTTGCTGGAAGGACCATTCTTGATTATTGAACATGGTGTTGTTAAGGGGCTTCACTACCTTCTCAAGAATGGTATCTTGATACACTTGTGCCGATGTTTTGATACCTTTTTCACAAAAGTATGGCTCAGTCACTCCTTCACAGCTAATACCCCACCAAACCATCACTGAAGTCGGATAGTGCCCACGTTGCACTCTGTCGACTAATTGGGAAGCTTCCTTAGAGCTTTGAGCATAATTGCGGTCATTTTGTTTGTTAAAATGTTGCTCAATAGTAAAAATTTTCTCATCCGTAAACAAAATTTTTCTATGTCCTCCCTTAGCGTACCGCTTCAGTAGTTGTTTCGATTTTACCACCCTGTTCTCTTTTAAATTATCAGTTAAGATATGACCAGTACGTCTCTTATAGGCTGCAAGTCCTAAGTCATCTTTTAAAACACGCGACATGGTTCTAGGTGCTATTTTCATCTCCCGAGATAAAATCTTTTGCTTTGGGACCGGATGGATTTCTTCGAATTCTTTCCCTTACTGCTTTGAGCACCTTTTTCGTACGAACACTACGTGGACGGCCAGATTTTTTCCATCACAAGCAGAGGAGTTCTCATTGCACCTATTAATAGCCGGGTACACAAACATTTTACTAATACCAAGCGTATGGAGAGTTTTAAAAATTACATTTGGCTCCATACCTACTTTGTGTAATGCAATCACAGCGATTCGGTTCTCTTTATCATCCCACTCCATTTTAATATCGCAAAATATTGTACAATGTATTGGCGCCAAAATGAGAAAACTCAATGAGCAATCATATAAAAATGACAGATTCCAAATTCAAATGTAATATTTTGTTTATTTTTAATTGTAACAGTATTTATGGCCAGACTAAGTATATATAAATGAATTGCTGTTCTTTAGTCTCGCTAAAACTCGAGAACGGCTGGACCGATTTGGCTAATTTTGGTCATGAATTATTTTTGGAAGTCCAGAGAAGGTTTAAAAGGTTGATAAATATGAAAATGCTCGGAATTAAATAAAAATAACAATTTTGTTTTTCCTTTGATGTGTCCCCCGTCGGATCTTAGATTATGTATAACTAGCGACTCGCCCTCGCTTCGCTTCGCAAACTGTAATTTATTATTGATTATTCCACTATTTAATGGATGTTATTATACATATAAAACTTCCTCTTCAATCTCTCTATCTATTAAAAAAAACCGCATCAAAATCCGTTGCGTAGTTTTAAAGATTTAAGTATACATATTGTTTTATACTATGTAGTGATTATGCGTGCCAGGCAATGCAACGTTCGGCGAAGCTGGTATAACCCCTCGAAGTTACCAGCATAGGTAGGGGAAAAATGGGTAATGTATACCGCACATTCCAACTCACGAAAAACGAAAAAAGTTTGTGTAGAAAACTGTCGGATAAATATTTAATCTTAAAATTTTTACTCGTCAAGAAATGCACCTTAAATTTAAAAAACAAAAAGTTATTTTAATACACCTCTGCCTTGTAATATTAGGCACAATATCAAACACTTATCTTTGTCGCGAGCTTAATAGGGATCATGTTATCTTAATTCCCTGACTTTCACGAATTATATGAAACACTTTTCGCGGATTTTCCAAAAAATCCTATGGTACAAATGTAGGCATTCTCGAACATAAAGAGAACTAAAGCAGCCAAATCGATTTAGCCGTATTATGTGACTATACATGTGGTAGCAGTGTAGTCAGCTTTTCCCCTTACCTATTCGCTGGTAGCCTAAGGGACTATTGCAGCTACACCCGGACCGGCAGCCGGTAGCTATCATAGAACACAAGATATTTGACAGATGCCTGAATCTCGCAAACATTTTCAATTTTAGCTTGCCTATCTATATATTAATACGTGAAGCAAAAACATTGTGCCCCTTTTTACGAAAATTGCACGGACGGAGGAGTTAGAAATTTCTCACACTTATAGAGAATATAGAGAATAAGTGCACAATGCTAATATTTTTTTTTAAATAATGCATAAAAGATACTTTAAATCAATAAAGAAAACATTACACACACTACCATGTAATATTATTGAGCTATATTGCAGTTTTGGCGAATACTGTGATTATATTATTGAATTATAATAGTGTTTGACAATAGAACCATAATAATGTTTAAAGTTATAAATTCTTTTAATTATAGTCGAATTTCGACTACTGCGAGGCCACTAGTCTATATATTAATACGTGAAGAATATAGAGAAGAAGTGCACAATGCTAAATTTTTTTTAAATAATGCATAAAAGAAACATTAAATCAATAAAGAAAACATTACACACACTACATATCATGTATTTGACGCACACACGCATGCATACTATTTATTATCAAACTTTTGTTCTTCACGTCTGCTGTTGTCAAATTGAGAATAGATTAAACATTATTTGTCTTTGTTAATATTTTTTATAGTGTAGTCTTGGCGAAATTTGTGATTATAGAAGTATAAAATATAATCATAATAGTGTACAAACTTACAAATCCAATTAATTATAGTCGAATTTCGACTACTGCGGGACCTCTAGTACATATAAAAACTCCGAACAATAATCAGACTGTCAGTCGCCCGAACAATTACCTACATCCGCTCGGCAGAACATCTTCCCTTTGTCGTTAACCCCTAAACTGGTGATACCGACATAATTCAATAAACTCGTCGGGTACTGAAGGTCTACTTAAATCTTGTAGGTGTCCCAAAAATTGTCCCAACACTGAGGAGCTTGGAGGAGTTCCTTATACGTCAACAGTTGTTTAACTTTTTTTTCGTCGGATGCGAAAAGACCTTTTTTTCTCTCCATACCGAGTTCGGTGGAAGATCTTTCCTTTATCTTTAACGCCGAAAACCGATTATATTACTTAATTAATATCTTTCTTGTCGACACTGACATTACGATTCAGGCAGGCTAAGCCCCTACGGATTAAGATTACTCCTACGAAATAAATTCATCAAATGTAAATATTTTCCACTCAAAGATAATATATTTTTTCGCACGATCAAATCATTACACTACTCATTGCACACAACTATTTTTTTCTATAGGCACTAAAGAAAAACTACAGCCTCTGACTTTCACACTACCTATCCTATGATACTATCATTATTTCCGCCAAAGGAGTAAAGCTGTGGGCTGGAGGACTACGCCCGGCACCGACCCCTATATGAAGCAGCCTTCCCTGATGAGCATTCAGGGCAAACGGAGTGGTTGAGACTGCGGGCTACTCTAGCGCGCCGCAAATTTAATATCTATGAAAACCGACTGATTGGCGGTGTATCGCCTCCCGGTAGGCTGATTTTGGTTCAGTAGGGTATATCGGAGTGTATGGAGTGTTTTAAATATTTGGTTCCTAAAAACTGAAAACCGTTGTCTTCGTCGTAAAAAAAATTATGTTAGGTATACGAAAAATGAGAACTACACTGCATACTTATAATAATATGCACTTACCGTTCTAGTTGGACTGGCGTATTGAATAGAATTTTCAGAAACGTATTCAGGTCTATGCAAGATTTCAATTATATCTTCTAGTAAGCTTTTGTCTTCTTCACTCAGATCATTAACCAATATTTTCTTTAGAACATCTTCTACTGTTTCTATAATAAAAATGTCGGTTTGTATTTTATTGCATTAATGTTTTGGTTATTACTAAATCCCTTCAAGCCACAACACAATAATATTTATTAAAACTTAACTAACTTTATTAAATAGTAAAATTTATTTGTAGATAGCACACCATATGACTTCGGTTAATGTCATGTTCATGAGATGCTCAATTAAAAAATATAAAAACTTTTTTCAATCACGTGCATTGTTCGAATTACATACGAATTGAGTTATAGCTATTTAATATAATATTAAGAGAGAAAACAACATTACTTTTTTTTGAAATACACATAAATTTACGTAGGTAAAGACTTGTTTTAAAAATTGCCAAATGACTTGTATATTGCTTAAGTAATTTTCGACACTAGACCAGTTACGTAGCTGTCTTTCTACGGTTCTAGAAAAAAAAAAATGGGTCACCTACCTAATGAAATAAGCCGGTTTGCAAAACTAGAGCTCACCAATACTAAAACTACCACAAGGAATTTCATTTTGGCCGGTCTTTCACCCGCCAATGAACGATAACGACGGCGCTCCAACCTTATATAGTCTTGACACGCTGTACTAAGTATTTTATCCAAGTTAATGAAATGTTTACCGGTACTCGTATTAGACCTTGTTACAGCCGTGATGCGGGTAAGTAGTCTATTAGATAAATCGTATTTTTTATCATATCTCGAGTATATTATTATCTCCTTTGGAACCTTGCTCGAGAGTCGGACAATAATATTTCGACACAATGATATGGGACTGCATTGTCACACCTCTGAAAATCATTAAGACGTATAGGATACATCGAAATATTACATCAAATAACTTAAAATCACCATGGGATTCATTGAAAAGCGTATTATCCCTCATAAATCACGTATAACCAGATAAAATATGTGTTTCTGGAAACTTTTAAATTATTGAAATACTAATAATGCCAGTAAAAAAAAATATCTCCCTTGATAAGTTCATTGTGATTACTGCGATTTGCATGTAAGTAATTCCAATTTATAACCATTTTAATTTTCTGCACCAATGTTATTCAATGTGGGTGATGTACCTAAGTGTATGACTGGTAATCGTTCTTAAATCTTTAACCGACAGAGCCCACTGAGTTTCTCGACGGTACTTTGATAAGGCTGTAGGAGCACCCGTAGTTAAGCTGTTTCAACTAGCTAGATTGTCCTGGCGCCCGCTCGAAAGATAGGTACCATAGAGAGATTGAATATTGTTTACGTAACGTGTAATGTATCTAAGATTGGATTTAGGTATAATATAGGTTAATTAGCACACAAGTAAATCAATATAAAGCCAAGTGAACAATAGCGAGCATTTTGTTTAATGCGAGTTTTTTAACGTTCTCGATAGCGTAAAAGTTATCAAAAATTTGTACGCTAGGGGCGCTGTTCCAACTGCATACACGTTAATAAATAATAGTTTAAAAAACCTATTAAAATACGCTTTTATAGAAAATCCAACTAAAAAATAGAAAATAAATTTTAATAATTTTGAATTAAAAATAGTGTAATAAAAACTACACTATTTTCACTATTTTTTAGTTGGATTTTCTATAAAAGCGTATTTTGTTAGTTCTTTTAAACTATTTTTTTTTTCATTTTTTTGTTGAATTTCAATTTTTTCAATTTATTTTAAATATATTGTCATCGGTCCTTAATAAGTATACCAAATTTCGAGTTAATCTGACGTTTTGAAGGGGGTCAAAATCATGTTCAAAGATTCCGTTACAAACATAGGTACATACGTCTGAAACTAATAAAAGCGTATTAAAAAACTCGCACTAAGCACACGGCAAGGCAAGACTATGCGTCGTGATTATCGCCTTATCGTTGTCGCCGTTGACTAGCTCCTGCGTGGGCAGGACTCGGAACATTACTTCGATAAGGCGATGCGTCATGATCATGATAATCGCCTTATCGTTGCTGCCACTGACTACTCCTCGAATCCTGATCACGCAGGAGTCAGCCACTAACACTAGGAGCATGCTTAGGTTCCCGGTAACCGTGCAACTTAACCCATGCATCAGCCCTCTGAGTTTCACGCCGAGTCTTCTCAGCAGGTCGCGATTCCAATCCAGTAGTAGATTGATTTGCGAAGCAGTTGCTTTTCAGTTGTTAGGTCTCTTTTGGAGGCGCTCGGGCAGCTGTTAGCAAATGCCATCCCTTCTTGGCTGAGCTTATGCTCGCCCACCTTTCCTGGTGAAACCGGAAAGGCATTCGGGCCACAAGTAATCCTTCCTTAAAAAAAAGTTTGTCGTCGGATCTTCAGTGGGAAAAAAAATTGGTAATCATAATATTTAACAACAAGCGAAATATCAGCTCATTTGCCTTTTTTTTAATTACAAGCAGTCGACTGCTACCACAACTGTGCTAGCGGTGTGACCCCAGAGTGTGTATTGGCCTCCGACAGTAACCACTAAGCCACTAAGCCACTCGTCCCCGCGCTGCGCAACATCTTTCCAGTCTGGCACTTGGGAGCTTGCGCGGATCCCGTTCCGTGTCAGTCCAGCAGTACTTGGGTCTCCTTACTGGACGACGTCCCTCTTCACAGCCGAAACTTGCTCCATTCGTAGGTACTACAAGGCCGAACCTCGACGCAGTGGCCAATCATATTTCCGGACTGCATCTCCGCTTTGTTTTTCGTGGATACTTCAGTGAGTTGGCACCGTCATTTATACCAGTTTTAATATTTACCATCAACCTTTTCACTACATAAAGAAATTTTCTTATTAGTAAACTAAAGTTACTCGCGTCCAACCAAGAAAGGCGACAGTTTTTTGCATGGATGCGCAAACGAGCTCATTGTCATTGACATTACAAACTTATTGCCGTCACCCTTCTTGGTATCATATTCAGACTCAGTTACTGCCCATTCTCCGTTGAATTGTTTAGTAGCTTTTATGACACCAGCGGAAAGAATTGAGGTGGTGCAATTGTATGCCGCCATAAGAGTGGCAGAATGTGCTTATCGGAACACACGCTGCCTATACATGCTCTTCCACTAAGTTTAATAGACGAAACTAGGCAGCATTTGTTCCTTGCCAAAACATGTCTTTCGTTCTTCTGATGTTCATCTTAAGGCCCACCCGTTTAGCTTAAGCTTTTACCTCTTTTTTTTTATACCTAACCTACCTCCTTTTTCTCTACCTTGTCCCGGGTAGCCTAAAGGGCTATTCCAGCTACTCACGGTCTGGTAAATAAGTTCACGACCACAACCTAAGAGTTTGCACACTGTCTTTAGCAAGAGCAGTTCTTCCCAGAATCTAACCCCAGACCGGAATCACGACCCGCAAAAGATCCAGCGAGAAACTCAGTGAGTTGTGTCTGAGTCTTTGGGTTAGCTCACACGACGAACGCTTCGTCATAATTGAAGAGTTCAACGAAGACGGTGACATAGCCTTAGACTTAAGCCTGGTGTTGTATAGAGAATATTAAGGGTCCAGCAAGGATGATATAGTATAAAACTTTACTACTATTATAGTACAGAGTCCGAGTTCGATTCCCGGCGGTGTCAAACGTTTTTATATAGGTACGGGACCTTAGTATATTTGTCACGTCTGTGTTTTCAGCGCCCTTAGCACAAGAAACAATCCTAACTTCGGTCTGTATATCAATATAGCTAAAAACTGACAAATATTCACTTACGATTTGAGAAATTTAAAATATTTACCTGCCTATATTTAAATTTGTTTTCATATCACTATTTCGATATTTTTTCTGATAAAACAGTATATAAATGTAGATTTTTCAGCCACGAATATAACATTTTCACAAACATGATAAGCTGATACAAGTTAAACTCAATTAAGGACAAAGAAACAATTTCTTTATTTTTTTTTATATATTAAATTCCATAGAAGAAAATTAGATTTTTAACAACAGAAAACAATAAAAGTCAGCATTCGTCAAACGTCGCTCATTTCCACATCTTCAATAGTTAAATCGTCGAGCATTTCGGCCAGTGTAATACGAGGAAGTGACGGATCGATCTCGTCTGTATCCACAGCAATTCTGCTAGTATCTTTAAAAATATTAACATTCTGTCTGAATGCAGGATCCTCTTCGAGATCATCAAGGAAGTCATTGTAGTCACTGAAAATGAAAGATACACCATATAAATTTACAATACTGCAATACGTGAACTACAGTTTTTTTTTTTATAGTATATTAACTACATTTTTTTTTATTGCCCTTGTAGGCAAACGAGCATAATGCCCACCTGATGATGAAGGTTACCGTCGCCCATAGACTTCAGCAATGTCAGGGGCAGAGCCAAGCCGCTGCCTACCGTTAAATATTCTCCACAAGCCTCGTATAAAGAAGGACAAGTCATAGCGCTCAGGAAACACTGTGGAGGGAAACTCATTCCAAAGCCGAATAGTGCGTGGCAAAAATGATCTATGGAAACGCACTGTGGATGATCGCAATGGCTCCAGGTAGTATGGATGAACTCTACTCCGGGCGGTGCGATGGTAAGAACGGGATGATGGAATCATCTCAAACAATTCCTCATACATAGGTGAACGAAATTACAATCAGTAAAGTATTATTATCTAGAAAAGTTCTGTATCGCACTGATGATAATTTCACGATCATTTTGCGTATGTAAAAGCTTGTTCCAACAAAATCTTGAATCGGTCTACCGAGTGGTAAAATCCGCTCGGCGAAAGGTGGCCCCTTTTGGTGCTCTACAGGGCAATGGCGAGCCCCATATTACAAGTAAGTTACTGAAGTAAACTTCCAGTTTTGGGCATGTTAATCTATCCTACCACTACGTACCGACGTATCTGATTATTAAACAAGATACTTACTCATTAGTGGAACTGAGGCCTTCGTGGAAATCTTCGGCCATGTGTTTGAGTTTCCAAGCACGTGCTCTCCTCCGAGCCGACTTTTCACCATAGAACTTTTTCACCAAAAACACGTCGGGGATGTTACTTCGATCCAGTTTATCGAAATTTGTATCATTAACGTTTGATTCACTTAAATTATATCTAGAAAATGAAAACAAATATTTGCTGTGAATTATTAAGAATCTTTTGTTTTATAAGACTATTTTAAGAAACTACAAATAATAAATTATGACTTAAATCTGTGGCATTATTATAACAATTGAGTTCATGTCTCTCTCAGTGCTTTATTTAGAGTTATACACCAAATTTCTAGTTTTCAACTAACATCGACAGGTCGGCACAAGTTAACAGTCGACCTAGAAGTATATGCTGGAACCCCTAAACACCATAAGTGGATACCGCTAATCACCTTGACACATGAGCTGTTTTGCCTTTGAGCCCGCAACACATGGCGTATTATAAATTAGCTGGTGACATATATTTTGCTATTATAGAAAAAAAATAGTTATATAATCACCCTAGAACGGTGTCGCCCGGTTTCAGGATGTGTCCTAGATGCGTCCTAGTGTGTACGGGACTAATGTCCATGCCTAATTCGCTGGCTTTAACGATCCAGACGTCAGCAATCACGTGTTTGTTAGACACCATACCCTGTCCCGGGAAAGATTTCTTTTCCTAAAACAATTAATTTTATTTTAAAGAACAGTAAATAGAATAGTAATATATTATAATTTATTACAATAACATATATTTTTTTGTGCACTTTTGTTTCTTTTTGTAGACATTTTTTCTTTCGATTTCTTTTTTTTATTATTCCTACCTATTCACTGATAGCTTAAGCTATTCCAGCTACGCCCGGACGGGTAGGTGAGGTCACAGGCTCAACCTGAGAGAATTTGATAACACTAGCACCACTACCACTTCTACCACCGAATCAGAATCGCAAACTGCTGAGAAGATGCAGTGAGAAACTCAGTGTGCAAAGGACAAGGGCCACTCTTATCTCACCATTAAAATACACTTAAATTTTATAATAAGTATGTAAAAATGAAATGTTTAAGTTGGTAAATTATAGTTATACTATGAATTAGCTTACATGTTCTTTCAGTATATCAATATCCATAACAATATATTCCACCAACTGTTTAGGATTACATATGGGTGAAAAAGGATTTCTCCAGTAAACAGTGGATGATACATCGCAAACTGAAAACAAAAGAGTAATTTCAGAGTGTTATATATATTTCTTCACTTTAAAATTAACAGTAATTACTAGATTTTATTACTGTTAATTTGTACCTATTGTCGTCCTATTGTAATAGGGCCTAGCAAATGTGTGGATCTGTTATAAAGTATGTGTTGTGTTCACATTGTTTTTTAAAATATTTTATTTAGTTACAGCTCAACAATGCTATTGTTTTTTTGAAATCACTTTATGGTAAATTTTGTGACTTTTTAGAATTAAAACAGCATTTTTCTTCAATTTTACTCTTTAAATGTTTGGTTAACAGTACCCTTACGTATTGTTACTCTCATTGTATTTTATAACAAGTGTGTGACTCTATAGACCGGAACCCTACACACCTTCGTGGTAAAAATAGGCAGAGTGGTGACACCTAGGGTAGTGCGCTCCCCCTCAACCGGGTATCCGTTAATGGATTACACAGCGTTAAAAAAAAAAGGGTTCTGCGCTCAGAGAGCTTTCCACTAGTAATTACGCAAATAAAATTTTTTGCGGGTACGATTTTATTACACGGTGTTATGTCTACACTGCTGGTATCAGCTGTGTATTTGTGTAAAAATTATTATAGGACTACAGGAATTGGGCATCAGTATTGTCACATCGATATGAGTAGATTGGACATCTGACTCTTTAGGCCACAACTTACCTTGTCCATTATTAGCGTCAATCAAATGAATTGTGCTAGTTACTCTGTGCACTAAACAAATTGGTGAAATGGATCCCAATTGTTGGGTAAGTTTCTTTGGAAGACACACAACACTGTCCTTAGATAGAGGTACAATTTCCACACTGAATGTAAATTTATAGTTGTATATATTGCTATGTATGTCATGCGAAATTAGCTTCTTGGAATGTTGACATTTTATAGGCAGAACAGATTGAATAAAATCAACCATTTTGCGCGCATGATTCTCTGTTGAATAGAAGAAATCTAGTCCATCTGAAATTATTTAAAAATATGATAATTGACAATAAACAAAATTAGATTTGCCGAGAAAACAGTAGTATCGGTTCTTTCATATCAATAATATCATTTATAGATTAAAATTATATATCAGTATTCACACTAGTGTTAGAGTTTAGTCTTTATTTTACCGCCATTAGAGTCTGAAGTGATCGCCCTCACCTATGATGAACAGCTATGACAATGACAATATCAAATCACTGGCTACCAGTGATGCTTTGTTTTATGAAATAATCTATTTCCCATGTTTTATAAGGAAAATCAGCTACAGTATTGACTTCTACAAATCTGAAGAGTTCTAAAAATACCATAACAATATGCCAATCTATACTAATATTATAAAGCTGAAGAGTTTGTTTGTTTGAACGGGCTAAACTCAGGAACTACTGGTCGGATTTGAAAAATTCTTTCAGTTAGATAAGTCATTCATTGAGGAAGGCTATAGGTTATTTAACATCACGGTAAGGTCAATACAAGTGAAGCATCAATAAATAACATTCTATAATTAAAAAATATTTTCAATTTCTACATAAATGAAGAGGCGGGTAAAATGTAGCATTATGCCAAAGTAATTATTCCACGCGGACGGAGTCGCGGGCAAAAGCTAATTAACAGATAAATCTTGTGCATTCTATTGTGATAAAAGGCAAGTTTTAGAAAACTTTACATACCATGCTTGGGCTTGATCCCTAGAGTATTTTCATGAGCCTTATGCTTCAATATTAATTGTTCAAGATAGTAAAATGTTTTCCTGTTATTAGCTCTTTGTCGTACTTGCACTAAAGCACGCCAGTAATCTTGAGCTTCTGAACGATGGCAAGCATCGCACATTTGATGTTGAATTGTAAATTCAACTATAAATGTCTGCTGGAGCACTGCTCCTCCGATAACTTCGCCTTGTACAGTTAATTTTACCTAAATTTCAAAAGAGTTTAATAGCAACATCAAAATAGAAATAATTAAAAAGAAAACCTTCAAAATATCTGATAGCAATTACTGCATTTACAGTTTTAGCAAAAAAGGTTATATTTAATATTTTTGTTTCGTCACTGTTACATAATATCAATGTAAGCTGGTGACACAGCATTCATAAGTATATTAGTCGTATTCTCTTTAAGTCTTAGAATGAGAACCATTCTCAATACCAAATAAATGTTGCCCTGGACCATACACTAATGGCTAAGTATTATTGTTTGTATAAAGAAATGTATTTAATCTGGGAATGTGAATGGTAATCTATTTGGATACTTATTTATATTCAATATTGCAAAATGTATGCAAAATTTTTTTATTATTGAACCAGTAATTTCAGACAACGTAGATTGAATGAGCAATATTGTCCTTATATTTAATCATTACATTTGTCAATATATTTGAGACTGACAAACATATTGATAATATCTGTTTAATATATTTTCCTTTTATTTTAACTTTTATTTTCTTATGAATTTTAATACTCATTTAGAACTCTTTATTCTCAATCAATACAATTAATGTTAATCATTACTTGAAACCTTTCTCACTTTAATTCTAAAACTGGATAGGAAGTATTCTCACTATTATTGGATACTTCTAGATATATGCAAACAACATATTTGACAGTTCAAGACAGTTAAATCATCAAAATACCTTTATTCTCTTCGAATGTGGCTCAGTCCAAGCAAAACCAGCATCAATTAACTTAACTCTGCTCAATCCTTTTAATCTCTTGAGACAGAGAGCTAAGAGTTCACGTGACTCTAATGCACACACAACCCACTCAGAGGGTGGTTGCAAATACCTAAAAAAAAAATTTAGATGATATAACTTGAAAATTACATATATTTTCAATGATGATATGCAAAATTGTGAAGAGTTTCACGTTTATAAATAATCAACAAGTGTTTACTGACTTCATTAATATTTATTTTATAAAACATCAAAAGAAGAAAGAGAAAGTCTCTTGCTATTGCAATGGATTTGCTACTGGAGCTAAACCCAAACGAGGATTAACGTCAGGCAGACGGCCAGTGCAAATCTCTGGTGAAATTGATGCCCTATGCAGCATGATAAGAAGACATAGTGGGCTGCCGCATTGCACATGCCATTATAAGGGGTCATATAATGTGAAATAAGTGCAAGAAGCAAATTATTCACCATCTCCTTATAGATATAGAGAATCTGCCAGAAGATCTAAATTATAGTACTTAATAGTAAGTACAGCTGATTCTCAGAAAATATAACGACAGAACAAATTGTAAGACTGTTTACTGTCACAGTTTCAAATTCAGTGTAATTATCCACGTTTTTAACTTCTTTCCGTCTTAATCAGATAATATTACCTTTCACAACCCCTACAGAAGAATAATGTCGCTTGTTTGGGTATTCCATCTGTGATGTCTACATGAGCCCTTAAACAAGCTACACACATATTTGAGGGGTTTGCTTCTATAGGTACAGCACACTGACAGCACAATCTGTAATAGACATTTTATTTTCTAAGTGCTCTTGAAACTATTCGAAGTGTAATAGTGTTTAATAATCCTATATTTACATAAATCACTAAAACTCCTATTCATACATACATTCGTGTATTGTTGCTTAAAGAAGCGTTTTCTGGAGCAAAGTATTCCATCTTCATTTAGACTCAACACACGCGACACAAAATTTAGTTTCTAGTCACTGTTTAAAGAAAAATGCTTTTCACAGTAGACCAATAACAGCAGGTTTGTACGAACATAACCTCTTCATTTTTTCTTTTTTTTTTAGGGATTTTATGACCTGATAACTAAGACTTTTAAGTCATATTTTATTTTAATTTATATTCATATTTTTATGCAAAATGATATGGAGTGAAATGAAATGAAGATGATTAATTTAAGAAATTAATCAACTGAAATGAAATGAAATTAAATGAGATGAGATGATATGGGATGAAATATAATCTTAGTAAAATGATGGTCAATATTTACTGGTGGTACGAGCTCTTGGCCGTTTTCCAATTACAGCACAAGAGCGCATTATGCGGCATATTGCTCAACTAATCTTCAGCATAATTCGGCATTATGCATCACTGAGTCGCATTATGCTCTGTAATTAACCATTACTTAATGGTAGTTTTCCAATCATAATGCGACTCAGTGACGCACAATGCCGAATTATGCTGAAGTTTGGTTGAGCATTATGCCGCATAATGCGCTCTTGTGCTGTAATTGGAAAACGGCCCTAGTGAGTCTGCGCGGGTGGGTACCATCACTTGAAAGCTATAATGGTAAATATTAGAACAGACTGATCAATGACACGTTTGACATGCTCATGATGGTGCAATTCCAAGAATATTAGGATCTTAGGGTTAGAATATTAGGGTCATTTTATGCATTTTGAAGCCATAAAGCCAAGTTAGATTTTCTAGACCGTAATAGGCATCACATCACCTACTTGGTATTGGGTTCCACCCTTTTTATACGATTTGTAGAGTTGTTGTTACTATAAATTTTGCCAAACTTTCAGACATATTAAATACCTTCTATGCCTAGGCTACATTTTTGCCTAGTCTTGTAAATAGTGCGTTAGCTCCTCAGTCTTAATAAAATTCTAGTTAACGCAATTAATGGTTATAGTCTAAATAGCATCCATATATTTTATTGTAGCTTCAGGTGCATAATATTTTGAATCCAGAAAATTCTAGTTAACGCTATTAATGGTTATAGTTCAAATAGCACCCATATTTATTGTAGCTTCAGGTGCATAATATTTTGAATCCAGACCAGTTCGATTTTTTTCTATGTATTTCGAAGCGAAATAAATAATTTTCAGATTCAATTTCATATCGAATGTGTCGAATCAAAGTGACTCAAACTGCTTTCGCGACTTTATCAGATCTAGACAAATTTTTACGTCTTCTTAGCTTTCATGGACCCATCAAAAAGTTTCAAGACTTAAAAATGTTTAAACCAAAATTCAAAACCACTTTTAATTCCTTTCGTAACTTTTAAAATTCTTATAAAACATGCATTGCAGACCCATAGATACTTTAAATACGCGTTCATTATGTGCCTGTGCCTACTCTTCGTTTCCCTTTCCCCCCTCGTACCTCATACCGCTCGCATCCGCCCATCGGCACTGGACGGATCGTTACGTAAAGAATTTGTGATTTTCGTAACCAGTTCGATCCTACTTTGCTGCCTTTCTACTAAATTTTCAAAAATATTATCGAAATGTTTCCTACTGTCTGCAGAGTAAGCCGTTTGGCTACGAAGACAGTAGTAAACAATGCTACTGAAAAAGCATCATTGGTGACTGGAGCTGCTGTGAACAAACGTGACTATGCAGCCAAGGCTTCCGGCAAAGGGCAAGGTAAGGTAGTTGCCGTTATTGGTGCCGTAGTGGATGTTCAGTTTGAAGACAACTTGCCGCCGATCCTAAATGCCCTTGAGGTGCAAAATCGATCTCCCCGCTTGGTCTTGGAGGTGGCGCAGCACTTGGGAGAGAACACTGTACGTACCATTGCCATGGACGGTACTGAAGGCTTAGTCCGTGGGCAACCCGTACTCGACTCTGGCTCACCCATTCGTATTCCGGTGGGAGCTGAAACCCTCGGACGCATCATCAATGTAATCGGCGAACCGATTGACGAGCGCGGTCCCATCCCAACCGACAAGACTGCTGCTATCCATGCCGAAGCTCCAGAGTTTGTCGACATGTCTGTGCAGCAGGAGATTCTCGTAACTGGTATAAAAGTCGTCGATCTGCTCGCTCCTTATGCCAAAGGTGGAAAGATTGGGTTGTTTGGCGGAGCTGGTGTGGGCAAGACTGTATTGATTATGGAACTGATCAACAATGTTGCCAAAGCCCATGGTGGTTACTCTGTGTTTGCTGGAGTAGGAGAGCGTACTCGTGAAGGCAATGACTTATACCACGAGATGATTGAATCTGGTGTGATTTCTCTAAAAGACAAAACATCCAAGGTAGCTCTAGTATATGGTCAGATGAACGAACCTCCTGGTGCCCGTGCTCGTGTGGCCCTTACTGGTCTCACCGTTGCTGAATATTTCCGTGATCAAGAAGGACAGGATGTACTGCTCTTCATTGACAACATTTTCCGTTTCACTCAGGCTGGATCAGAAGTGTCTGCTCTGCTTGGTCGTATCCCATCTGCTGTAGGATATCAGCCTACTCTGGCTACTGACATGGGTACTATGCAGGAAAGAATTACCACCACCAAGAAAGGTTCCATCACATCTGTGCAGGCTATTTATGTACCAGCTGATGACTTGACTGATCCTGCTCCAGCCACCACTTTTGCTCACTTGGATGCTACCACTGTACTTTCTAGAGCCATTGCTGAATTGGGTATCTACCCAGCTGTGGATCCTCTTGACTCAACATCCCGTATCATGGACCCCAATATTATTGGAGCTGAGCACTACAATGTTGCTCGTGGAGTTCAGAAAATTCTTCAGGACTACAAATCCCTGCAGGACATTATTGCTATTTTGGGTATGGACGAGTTATCTGAAGAAGACAAGTTGACAGTGGCACGTGCACGTAAAATTCAGAGGTTCCTCTCACAACCTTTCCAAGTAGCTGAGGTGTTCACTGGACATGCGGGTAAACTAGTACCACTTGAGGAAACCATCAAAGGATTCTCCAAAATTCTAGCAGGGGACTATGATCACCTACCTGAAGTTGCATTTTACATGGTTGGACCCATTGAAGAAGTTGTAGCTAAAGCAGAAACACTTGCCAAAAATGCATAAACAGGACAGTACTGTGTCATAATATTAAAATCGTGTAGAGTAATTTATTGAAAATTTGATGTATCACTAGTAATTATAATAATCAATACTAATTACACATCTGCTTCTGAAAATATATACATCAATAAATGTGTAAAAATAAAAGTGGTTTTTCTTTTTGTAATAGATTTTATTACTTTTTGTTTTATGAATATAAATTCTACTAATTTGACATATGTCTAAATTGTTTATTAATTTAATAGGTATGTATAGGTACATATAACCTACACACTAAATGGTAAAGACAAAACAGGTCAGCATACCTAAAGTAGATTATTGTACGTTAACAAAATAAAAATTATTAGTTTTTGACTAACTTTATTGTTTTCAATAAAAAAATTCCTTTTTACCATCATTGAAAAAATATCAATAACCATAATGGAAATGAATCTGATTCTTTCGGATCGGCGATTATGGTCGAATTTCGACCACTGCCTCTTGGTACTGGTAATTTTATTAGAGTTGTGAAAATATATTTTTTATCCTTAAACCTAAATAGGTCATCAAAAATCTCTTCAATTTCGCTTTTCAAGCCTCTTACAGGATTCTTTTGATCTGTTCTGTTCTCAGAACGTGATCCGACCAACGATCGAAACAATTATGGTTTAAAATTTTATTTAAACTAAATAGTATACATTCTCCTGTCCTAAGTTTAGTAATAATAGACAGTAATATTGTTTTACATACCCTAAGGCTGTCCTTTCCAAATGACCTACTACTAATTCTGACCCACTATACAATTATATTCCTTTATCAACAAAAAGTACCTATTTATTGTTTCCTGTATTATTTTCTTCGGTTTTTGCGAGTCCTAGGCAGATTTATACTATTACTATTACATACTGTTCTTGCGCTTAATTCCTAGAAAGGAGAACTTTCAAGTATTCGAAGCGTCGAAAATAGTAAAATGAAAAGAATTAGATTAAACTGCCTAAGAAGTTAATTACGCTATTAATATTTACCCCTCTGTAGATGGGCTGCGGATCGCCAGAAATGTAAGAACATGTCAAATCATAGCAGTCGTTTTAAGTTTAAGCTGACTTGGACCTAAACTTCAATATTTTTTACTGGTGGTAGGGTCTCTGTGAATCCGCACCGGCAGGATTTTTTTATTTTATTGCTAGGTGGGTGGACGAGCTCACGGCCCACCTGATCTTAAGTGGCTACCGGAGCCCATAGACATCTATCTATAATGTAAATGCTGCTACCCACCTTGAGGTGAGTTCTAAGGCCTCAGTATAGTTAGGTACAACAGCTGCCCCACCCTTTAAACCGAAACGTATTAATAATTTTGCGGGTTTGATTTTTATTACACGATGTCATTCCTTCACCGTGGAAGTCAATCGTGAACATTTGTTAAGTACTTATTTCATTAGAAAAATTGGTACCCGCCTGCGGGATTCGAACACCGGTGCATCGCAAGACACGAATGCACCGAACGTCTTATCCATTAGGCCACGACGACTGTACCACTACCCTGCCTATTTCTGCCGCGAAGCAGTAATCGGTTCGATTTGAAGGGTGGGGCAGCTGTTGTATTATAACTATAATGAGACCTTAGAACAAATATCTCAAGGAGGGTGGCGGCATTTACGTTATAGATGTCTTCGGTAACTTCACACCAGGTGGGCTGAGTTCGTCCACCCATCTATAGGTAATTCAAAAAAAAAAACTACAGTTCAGTGATTTGAGATTCTATACCCCACCACTCCTTGGAAACATTTAATGTTCATTTTACTTTACATTTTGTACTTTGTGAATCATGAATAGATCAAGTTAAATAGTAATCATGGTATGTAATTGTAATAATAAAAAAGGAATATGTAGGTAATGAAATAAAAAAAAAGTCAGTTTTTAAAATTTATTTTTATCGCTTTCCACCAACTCTAGGTGCTGCTTTTTGACTGACTTTAGCAGCCTTTGCTTTAGGTTGTGACTTAGCCTTCGTAGGAGGAGCTGTAGTCTTCTTGGCAGCTTTAGTTGATTTCTTTTGTTCCTTTGCCGCCCTTGAAAAGAATTTAAAATTGAATTCCCTGGTTATTTTTATTTATATCTTATCTCATCTAATTAAATAAACAATGATTATGAAATGGTGCTATCAGAATTAAAAACTGCATTTTTGCTGCCACTACTGCTTTTTAGCTAGAAAGGTAAGACTACTGTTTTACAATACTGAGACTTAAATGTACTCTAGTGAAAGTAAAACATTAATAACTATTTATTTTCAATTTTAATACTGACACCTAGCATTTAATTTCCTATATATACAAGACCTTTCATAATGTCATAGGAATACATTTTTGGATATGTGCTGACCTAAAATAGAACTGCCCCATGGCTTCTCATATGTTCCGTAAAAAGTCACTAAGGGATTAGCCAGAGAATCAGCAGAAAGAAGCATCCTTAGAGTATTTATTATATAACACCAGCATACTGCAATTGTTAATCAGCATTTGTCACTAATGAAGTGTATTGTAAGCCTGTACAAGTAGGTACACTTATTTCTGCCACCATACAGCAGTCATGCATTTCAGTTTGAAGAATAAGATAGGCATTATACAATAAAATTATTATTATTGACAGTTCAAATTCATATTTGAAGTTAGATTGCGGAATTGTAACTGTTATGTTTAAGCTCCTAGGAACCACTTCACACTAGGTGGCCAGTGTACTTATTTACCCATATGTATAATGAAAAAAATAATGAAGTAAAACAAATAAATGGAGTGTTATTTCTTCAGAAATTTTCAGGCAAATTAACATTTTACTAAAATTATTCAGATATATGTACTTTTTTCTTAAGGTATCAATTTGTAGACTAATTTTTAAATCATAGTCATCATAATTTAAATTTCTACAGTACTTGTCCTTTATTACATGGATATCAGCCTATAAGGTGATTGCTTAAAATGAAGTGGACAGTGAGTTCACCTATCCATGTGCACCAACTAATAGTGCTGTAAACATTTTCTGTTCCAAAACAACAATTTGTGACAAAATAGTTTGCATTGTTAAAAAAATTGACCTGTTAATATTTTTTATTTCTTCTCAGAATTTATTATTAAGATAAAATAAAAGTTTTCTGACCTCCTGGTGTTTCACTGTGTATTTTTATATATTTTAACCAACTGCCTCAGCATATTTAGGCATTAGTTTTGGCTTTGATTGGATGGTGGAGATTATTTTCAGAGAGAAAATAAATGGTGAAGTTATTTGCTCACTGGTTAAAAATGTTAATCAGATAGATTTAATAGGCTTATTGTAGATTAATCTTATTATTATAGTAGTTCTTATAATTAAATTGAGTATATTAATATTCTAAACCTACTTAATGGCCTGTTCTCTCTGCGCTTTACGTACTTCAGGCTTCATATTACGCTTAGCCATAATGTCACTAAGTGAAGCACCAACAATCGCACGTTGGAACTTTTGGGTCCTTCTAGTACGTTTCTTTGCTTGTTCTTCCTCTTGGCCCTTTTTGAACTTGCGCCTAAAAATTTCAATAATGAATGTTAACAGAAAGCTGTTTCAGTTTATCCATAATTAAAGTGGTATATTTAATCTTATATCAGTCGTATACCATTTATGCTACATGATACCACTGCGCTCATACGTTAGGGTATTTCCATATTTTTTTTGATGCAATGTTTTGTAATGACATATTTTTCAAACAAGATTTGAATTGATACCTAATAATTAAGCAGAAACTCATCTGTGCCACTAGCACTGTATGTCTACAAGTCAAACCACTAACCATCAAGTGGAAAGTAAGCTCTTCAGCCTACTGCATATCATTAGTATGTTAAATTGGTTCCTACATTACTGTTTACCCCCAGTAAGATGCCACCTCAAATTGATTGTAAAAGTAATTGTTAGAAAAATATTAACAATCACAAAGAAAACCCACAGTATCACTCACCAATCTCACTCCAAAGTATCATTCCTTGTACTATGGGTACATATACAGCAATAAACACCCCGATAAAGGGCAAACAAAAGGTTTCATCACATGAATAATTGCCTGATGTGCACGAAATCGAACCCACAGACCCCTGGACCCAGCAGAAAAACGTTAGATAAATGCATTACAAATTGTTGTTCAAACGGAACCTTTACCTGTACAGGACAGTCCATGTTACTTTACGAGGATTCCTCCTCATCAAATGGGCGGCTTCACATTTTGAATTCAGGAATGTGAAGGTCTGAAACCATAATGTTAATATAGCTTTTTTTATAGTACCCTTAACAAACTTGATGAAATGCATATATGAGGATGAGAACCGAGTCAAATTTAAAACTGCATTTAACTCGATAGAGAATCAGAATAGCAAAATAACTAATGTTTGGTTAATTGTTTATATTGTATTTTAAAGTAGTTAATTATACATTAATATTTTTAATGGATTGTTATTACATTTATTTAGTTCTATGTACTGGTAATTGTATTTAAGAATAAGAAACGATTGTATAAGCTTGTTTTCGCATTGAAAACATAACCTGTCCTCGGTTTTGTAGTCTTCAATATCTACAAGACATTTATGATACATGGCCCCAAGCAATATAATCCTAGTCTAGATCTAATAAATAATTCCAATAAAATCGAAACAAAACTCACTTTTCCATCCACTTTAACCATGGTCTTGCCATGGCCTGGATATATTTTGTATCCACTATAGGCGCAAAGTCCGATCCTGAAAATTAATCACAATAAACAAAATTAAACCACATCACTCAACAAATATGTCATTTGGTAGAAAAAAATTCATAGGATTAACCAGATATTTTAAAATTATTCAATTGAACGTACTTCATTTTGACCTGACAAAACGAAAAGATTTAAGTATCATAGACAATAAGCGATCAAAAGACTTCGTCTGTGTTGCCAAGTGTTAGACGGTTAAATTTGAGAGCATAGATTATACATTTAATTTGAGAGGACTGGGTTTTGTAGGTGAAAAAACACTCCCCTTCATGGTTAATATAATTATAGTGCAAATACTTTGTAAACTATTATACCATTACAATATTTTATTTTTATAAAACTCTGAGATGTTGCTCAGTCCGTGTCTAGATGAGAAGTCATTGTCTTCACTGACAAGAAGACAATTATCTATTTTAAACATTTAATTAGGCATTCCAATAATCGAAATCTGTAACCTTACATGTGTTAAGTGTTGCCTGCCATTGCTTACATATTCAAACTCCAACACCAAGACTTGTTATTACGTTGTAGACGTCTATGGGCTCCAGTAACCACTTAACACCAGATGGGCAATGAGCTCGTCCACCCATCTCAGCAATAAATAAAAAAGAAAAATGCAATGGCTGACCCTAGGTCAAACGCCGCAACAGTGTCCTAAAGCAAAGCTTACCAATAAAAAGGTAATGGTATTTGTTTGGTGGTCCCAGCATAGTGTTATTGACTATAGCTTTCTCTGATCTGGTTAAGCCTGATCGGCAGATGTCTACTGTGCCGACCTCCGAACAATGATAGCAAAACTTGCAGTGAAGCAGCCCCGACTCATGATCGATCTTCACTATTATTGCACCATAATAACGCGAGACCTCATACAGCACGAGGAATCGTTTTAACTCTACAGGAACTGCAATTAGAAACCATTCCGTATTCGCCAGACCTTGCTCTAACGGACTACCATTTTTTTCGTGATTTTTAAATACATACATAATACGTACTTACGTACATGGGAACATAAATGCTATAATAAACCTAATAAACTATTCGCGGCATTTAATCTATACATATAAATAAAATTGGAGAGTCTGTTTGTAATATTGAAATAGCCTCTTTTTACTACATGCATATGAATATATATATATAAGGTACATTCACCAAAAGATTGTATTTTCCAATTTTTGTCTGTCAGTCTGTTCGTTCCGGCTAATCTCTGGAACGGCTGGACCGATTTTGACGGGACTTTCACTGATAGGTAGCTGATGATTTAAGGAGTAACTTAGGCTACTTTTTTTAGACTAGCTCCGCCCCGCGGCGTCACCCGCAGACCGTAGTTATTGTCGTACTGCGCGCAACATGGCGGGACTCGCCTATCAATAATAAAATTTAATGTTTCCGAAGCGAAGCGAGGGCGGGTCGCTAGTTGTATATGTATTTAAACCTTTTATGAGTATTCATGAAGACTAATAGATAAATTAAAAGCGTGGATATTGTACAACATAAAGTTGCGCAAGCCTATTGGTTTTCTTTTAAAAAACTAGTGCGCATGAGTTTTCGAAAAATACCAGTTGACAACGCAAGTTAAAATCGATAGGGATGTAGCGACTATAGTCTTGTCCGTTTTGAAAAATGTAATAGATTAACATAGACATAACATAACTCTAGAAAATAACCTAAAAATCAAAAGTAAAATTTGGATGTGCAATAATATAATGAACTGTGGTTACTAAAAATTGTTGGGAAATAAATATTGATTAACAGAATCAAAATACATATTCGAATTCACATTAAAATACTTTGATTTCTATTTATATTTTCAATAATAAAATATCTAGATGATTTGTCCGGATTTTTTAGAATTTCAGGTTGGATAAAATTATAAAATTGTAAATCGTACTTCAAAATTTCTTGATAATACAAAGATGTCCATTACTTTGCAGGACATCCTGAAGAAGATGAGGATACTTGATGATAAAATAGTATATGCCTTAAATACGTCAATTCCGACAGAGTCATTTAAAGCTAAAATTGATGCTACTGCAGCTTGTCATGATCTTTACTCTCAGATACGAACAGGGCATTCTGAAAGGGAAAATGTAATAAAAAATTGTATACTGGCAACTGCAGAATCAGTAAAAAAGCTAAAAGCAGTCAAAGAAGAAAAACCTAATGATTTAGAAGTTTTGAGGAACTTGAAAGCGGAGCAAAAAAAGGTGACTTAACATTTTTTTATTAATTTCATTAGTTACCATTATAGAGAGAAGAAAAGAAGTGACTTCAGGTTTAGCCGACTTGCTAATTTTGATAAGATCATAAATTAATCAGTGTTGCTTCAGAAATATATTGAAAATGAATAATATGTGTTATTAGCCCTGGTCATTTGAAAAACAAACAGATTATTATTATTTAATTAATTTAACTTGAACCAATAGTTATACTTAATCAGTAATATGGTGCTTCAAAAAAAACTGCTACATACTCTTCTTGGAATCAAATATTATTTTTTTGTGAATTATTATCTTATATTTTTAAATATCTAGATATATTTCGTCTTATTAATAATAAGAATGATAATGTTAGATATAAAAAGGAATAATTAAATGATAATTGTAGTAGTTTAATAAAATTTTAGTTTTTAAAAGTTAATCATTAAACTTAAGCTTTAGTGTTAAGAGCAGACTGCATAAGTTTACTTTTGTAAAGGTTATATGGTTATGGATTAGCAATGTTTATTTCAATTCAACAGTAGTATTTTTTCAGTTGAGACTTCTTCAAACTGAACTTAGTGTAGAAGAAGTTATTCAAGAAAAGACAACAAAACTCTTTACAGAAAAATGTAGAAGCTACTATAAGCCCTGATATTTATGAAGACTGAAACTTGTTTTACCTTTTCCTGAATTATTATTGTATACATTGAATCAATAGTTCTTAGATGTAAATGTTTGTTTTATTGATCAAGATAATTCCAAATCATACTTTATTAGAACATTGCATACATATATAATACATTTAACATTAAAAAACCAAAAATGATACTATAGTAAGATTTATTTCCAATTATATTTTCATAATTTTACTAAACCTTATTTTAGAAATTAGATTGAAAAGCAAATTAAATAATTTTTATCTAAAGAATTTTAGTATTAAATTCTTTATTAATTTACTTTGCACTACTTTTTTCTTTATGTTCTTCTTGATATTTTTTATGCCAGTCAAGATTCATCTGATGAACAGATTCCCCTCTTTTAGCAGCAGCTTTCCCAGACAATATTGCTCCAAAACTTGCCAAAGCAGTAAGAAGCATAAGCACATTTGAAATTTTGATTCTAGCTTCACTCTTAGATCTTTCAATAATTTCAGCTCTGAAACAATGTTTTTATTATATAATGTAATCAATATTTATTGAAGTAAGTATCAAATGGTGTGATCTTACAGCAAGCATTCCATAATAAGATGTCAATGAATTAAAGTGAGCATTCATTTTGCCATTTTTCTTCAAGCCATTTTTGGAACAACATAAAGGCTTCATTACTTCATGTCCTATGAAAAAATGAGACCACGTCCACTGCCGCATTTCTTCGAATGAAATCTTTTTAATTTACAAAAAACAATGAATGATTAAGAAATTATTAGAATGCAAACTATAAACTACATAAAATTAATAGAAAAATTTTGTTTCTCTAAAAATATAAAAAAATACGAGTTAGTGTTCTCACCGAAGAAACTTTGTACTTCGTGCCCGCCTGCGAATGAACTGCTCGAATATAGATTGCTCACTACGTGTGAATGCTAGCGGTGAAGACGAAATTAGAGAAAATGTAAAAATATTGATACCCACGATACAAATGGAGGGACTTCAGATTTGTTCTTGTATTTTTTTGTCCACACAAGAATCGTTTTCTGAAATTCTGTCGGTCGAAATCTATGAGACATAGATGATGATGATGGACCTGTTGAACTGGGTCCTGTCGGTGAAGATGAACACATCTTCCTAATATGAAACGGGCGACATCGCGCAAAAAACATTTTGTACATTATTAAGAGTTTATATAAGCTTTAACCACAGATTAATTCGAGAATCGTGATATTACGTACGCCTTTTCTCTTGTAATAGTATACCACATAAGTTTTCCTTGTTTTTGTACAGTTTTCAATTCATAGATTTTTTATTTACGTAATTTTCCCTAAGAGGCTGTGAAGATCTTAGCCATACAGCCAAGTTAGGCTTTGTTCTAGATATCATTTAATAACCTTATTTTATACCTTTATACCGGTCACTCATATTCGCACGAATACGCAAACCCGCAAGTGTAGGACAACATTTGCAAATGATTATGCAAAGTTTTCGCTGCATTCGTGGTTTTCCAAGCTGTGTCGGTTTTTTAACAGACATCAAAGCGCGCGAACCGCGATCCTTCGCGTAGTCTCCCACACATTTGTGTGACTAGTTGCGCCCAGGATTGCGAAGGCAACGGACTTTTCGCTATTTTCATAGATCGTGAAGTCTACTGTGTAGCGTATCTTCATCAAAAGAAATCCCATAAAAACAGCATGGCTGTTAATGATGTCTGGGAAAGAATTCAAAATTTTTTTTCTCTTCAATGTTCTATTGACGAATTAAAAAGGAGGAGAAATTCGTGAGACATTCGTAAACAAGTGTAGGAGGAAGTGCAAACGGGTTGGGCAAATTGAGTACCAAACCCATTTGCACAGCCGCTAAGTTTGCGAATGAATGTTTGACGGCCCTTCACATGCGCGCAAATATTCGTACATTGTACGAATGTTTGCGCGCATGTGAGTGGCTGGCATTAGAAGGCAGATGAGCATACGGACCATATGGCGGCGAGTCTTAGGAAAACTGCCAAATCACTACCTACCTTTGGTAAAATGTATAATGATATGAAACCATCATAAAATGATCGAAGCACTTCTCACGTAATACGCAAAGCACTCCCTATGGTGTATACGGAGGAATCACCATAGAACATATGACGCAAAACCGGGTCTTAAGTGTTACTGGAGAACATAGACACCATAACGTGAATGTCTTCTTCCAGCTTGAGACATGAGGTCGAAGTGTCAATTGAATTTTATTAAGTGATTGTCTCACCCCAGAAATTGGAACGATGGTTGCTTTGCGGTAGAAATGAGCAGGATGAGGGTATCTACCCGAGTGTTGGAAGGTCGTGATGCTGTCCACGTATAGTTGTCTATGATGCACTATATTTGAATTTGTAATATGTTTCTTTTACTTTTGATGTGCGGTGTCATTCTGAATTATATTTTCTCTTATACAAGTCAACACAATGTTTTCAAGTATTTCATTTACGTTTTAATTTATTGCTATAGTCGCTAGTCCACCCTATCACCGAGCAGGCATATAGACGTAATATCGTCAGTAAAATTAAATATGCAAATTATAAGTTATGTGCTTTTGTATAGTTTTATTACCCGTTGAAATCCTTTCAGCGTGGAAGTATTTTGTGAACCGGTGTTAAGCGTAAGTCTTTGTTCAGTATCAATAACATAGACAGTATCTGTAATAATATTGTTACCCAAACTACAACCACAATATTCGCCAAAGACACGTCTTTTAAGCCAAAATTAAAATGAAGTAAACTAGCTTCTCAAATGATAGGAATTTACTGAGACTTTAATGGAATTTGCGAAAGAATTTGTGAAGTCATTTCCATCGATTTTGCTCCAGATTTTTCCACCCATATTAGATTTCTCGATAACATCTTTATTTTATGGAGTAGTTTCAGAGACGCTGGAAGTATAGGCTTGAAATAGCTCAAATTTGACAATGAAGTAGTTGTTGACTTTGCCACTTTTAGCGTCAGATAGAACAGTTTCTCTTCAATTAATTTTACTACTACACAGTACTACTCTTCAGCATTCTAAGTAAAAATGCTGAAGAGTAGTACGAATATTTTCAGTGTTAGATAGCTTTATGATATGATATAGTATATACATATACGTATTATATATATTGGCGCAACACTGCTATTTAGTTAATGGGTTAAAGTGAACTATCTCAACATTGTTGGCTAAGTCCAGCGCATGTAAACAATTGTTTAAGACAGTACTCAATAAAATTCATGAACAAACTACCCTCATTTTTCTACTTACGACTGGTTATTGTCGCTCGTGACATTCTGGCTTGAGAAGCCGAACGGGGTGGACCTCTCTGTTGTTATTGATGCATATTTGAAATTCAATAAAAGGGATTGCTTAATTAAAGTTCATGAACAAACTACCCTCATTTTTCTACTTACGACTGGTTATTGTCACTCGTGACATTCTGTCTTGAGAAGCCGAACGAGGTGGGCCTCTGTGTTGTTATTGATGCATACTTGAAATTCAATAAAAGGGATTGTTTGGAAAAAGTTCGTTTTAATTACTGTCACTATTATCGGTAGATTAGTGTCACTATCATGTTAGTTTTAATTACTGTCACTATATTGGGAAGGCAATGATAATAATGAAGACAACAAAGATAACGATGATGTCATCATTTGTATACAACATGGCGCCAGTCACACTTTCATAAAAATATAATACAGTACATATTATAAATACATTATATTATCCTGGCGCAGCCTTTGCTATCCTGGTGAAACTGGAAAGGCCTCCGTGTTCCGTAGTCCTTCCTTTAAAAAAAACATACAACAATCACTCTGCGTTGATTGTAGTCACTTTTCTTATGCATACTCAAAACAAGCTGGTTCTGTTTATTGATTAAATAGAGATTCTTTGTATGTTGTTAATTAATTGTATTTTTTTTCTGTTATCGCCATACAGCAGCACAATCAATTTGTGAATAGTGATTCCTAAAAATAAATACAGTGAAAATTATGGGTAACAATGTTCAATTACTACAATGTCCAATTACTACAGTAGACAAATTTCATCAGGCCTAAGAAGATGGAAACGAATCTCCCTTTGAAAAAATATCATATTTCGTATTCCTCATTTACAAAGTTAGGAGGATTTTTAATCATATTTAGTAATTTGATGGGTTTTAGACTTTTGCTTGGCGATATCCCTAAAAATCGAACTATTATATACTATAAAGCAGCCAGCTGCGGCACCTTTGCTACTGTTACACCCACTGTGCTCGGGTAGTCGGTGCCCTTTGAAAAAAATTTGCAATGTTCCTTCATTATAAATCGTATTAATATGGAAATAAGCACTACAATGTACTTAGGAATATTTCTTCCTGTAATGTACTGACGAAACTTAACGCTGCTATGGTAGCTTGGGGTTGTCACTTTTTGTGATGATAGTACTGAAAGTTATTTATCTCTATGGTGCTTAAATAGTATTTGTATGGACGGTAGAGGTAAGAAGAAGTATGGGGGAGAAGTTGAAAAACTGTCCAACAACACCGTAACGATGAAAATGAAGATCTGACGTAATTAATATCGGAATGCTACAAAATTTCTATATAGAGTGACTGACTACTACTAGCTGAAACATTTTTTAGCCATAGGTTTATTGTTGTGAAAGAAAAGGAAATTATACTAGACTGTTTTGCTTTTGGCTTTGGTATGTACAAAATAATTCATTTAATAATTTATACCCTTTGTATCCTTAATTTATATCCGTATTAATAATTTATATCAAACTTTGGATTAAACATATAAAACAGCTTAGACACATTTTATCTTTTTATTTTGTATGTTATTTATGCAGTGTGTTTTACTAACTTAGACGGTAAAGTCTTGTAGCCCTTGGGATAAGTAATGGTAAGTAAATTTAAAAAAAAGTTTGAAGTTTGAATGTCACAATCTAATCGATGGTGGTTTGACTAACAAAATACTTAAATATTTTTTCTTTAGTTTACGTTGTTCTGTTTTCAAATACAGTAAGTATATAGGTACCTAGTGTGTTATTTTACCAACAGGCTAAATTTCGGATGTACCTAAATAACTCTAAGAATGAGTTGCATTGTACTAAAGCAGTACCTAAAAATTTTCTTTTTTTTTAACCAGTAATTATTCTTTGCTAATAAAACTTAATCCGAGCTCTATATGATAGTCCTACGAACCTTTTTAAGCATGTGATATCTATGCATTTAGTAATCGTACTTCTAGTTTAGTTTTTTTTTTTCGAGACGAGGAGGACAGCTGTTGAAAGTAAACCATCCTTTATATTTGTTTTCATCTTTTCCATTAATTTTACTTTAGTTTGTGATGATTATATTTTAGTGGCGTCGTATTTGTATCCAAATGAAAATAATATAATAATGTTAAAACTACATTTCAGATGTCTGGAGGTCACAAACATCGCTACAAGAATGTTGGACTGAGTGCTGACGAACTTCGTCGGCGCCGAGAAGAAGAAGGAGTTCAACTTAGAAAACAAAAAAGGGAACAGCAGTTATTTAAAAGAAGAAATGTTAATCTACCTGGAACTAATGCTGCTGGAGCTGCTTCACAGGTTTCACAGCTTAATAAATAGCACCTTGAATTGAATATGCAATTTCGAAAAGGGCACATGTCGCATATTTTGTCAAATACGTTTTTTCATATACATGTAGTTTTGGGGCTTACCTACACCTATTTTATAATAATTCCAGTAATTTTCAATTGCTAATTAACACTAAAATATATCTCAAAACTTAATATTTTAAATTTTACACTGCTTTAGAAAATAATCAGTTTTTTTCATTTCCTGAACATTTTACATTTTCAGAGATGTGCCCTTTTCGAAATTGCATATTCAATTGTTTTTAGATTATTGATGAGTTTAAGCAAATCACTTTACTGGCAACACACTTCACTTACCTCAATGATATAGTACAATTATCACTAAAAGTGTTAAGTGCTAAGCATATTGTATAAATGGATTGGTATAGTTTATAAATTCAGCTACAGTATTACTTAAATGTGGCCTGGATTCATTATTAATATAACAATAATTAAAGATATGAAAATAAATATACTTGTTTTGATTAACTTGAATTTGAGTATAATGTAAAACTTTATTATATTTATGGAGTAAAAGTAAGTCTGTTATTCTACAATCTGTAAGCTAACTGTAAAATTACTCTTTATTCTGTTGCTGTGTGAAAGGATAGACCAATTAAAACTTTTTTATACTTTGTAATATAATAATAACTGGGAACAATGTACATAATATGGTTACCTGATCCCAAACTGAAGCTGTTTTACTTACTGTGCAGCAGTGTTAGTGGAGCTTATCTTGGTACTTTCTTCGTTACTAGGATGTCCTGTAATACTTATATACATTTAAACATAAATGTACATAAATTGAAAATAAACACAGACAAAGAGCAACCAAACTCGTTCATCACATGAATGTTTCCCAATGTGTGAATCAAACCCATGACCCTTGGTGCAACAGGCAGCAGTATTACTGCACTACACTACACTATTGCACTACTGAGTTAGTCTTGTTGTAACTTCAGTTTGTGGAATGCTCAAAAATTTACCATAATAAATGATACCTCAAAATTTATATTCTTTTAATATCTTACATGTTCTTTTTGTTATCTTAATAAAATAAAATAAACTGTTATTGTATTTTCAATTTTCAGTAGTAAAGAGAATTAAGTAATTAAGAGGAATTTCATTTAGATATTTACTTATTCTTAGTACAACAAACATTGTTTATGATTAGATTCTCCATTAAAATTGTCCAATTAATCATGTTACCAAATATGTAATTGTATTTTTTTATTTTCGACAGGAGGACCTCAATATTTCACCATCAGATTGCATCACTCCAGATATGGTTTTAGCTGTCTACTTAGATAATCCTGAAGAACAAGTCATAGCAACACAAAAGTTCAGAAAGCTTCTAAGTAAGGAACCTAATCCTCCAATTGATGCAGTTATACAATCTGGAATTGTACCAAAATTTATTGAATTCCTGACAAACCATAAGAATCCAACCTTACAGGTAATATACACTACATTTACCAATGTATTGGCAAACTGTTGAAATTTCGATTGTATTATTGTTTACATAATTAAGTGCTTAATTAGATAAAGTATGGCTTTTTTTTCCTACCTATTTACTGGTAGCCTAAGGGGCTATTCAAGATACGAGCAGACAGGATAAAGTATGCAAATCATACTAAAATATTTTGTACAAGTAAGAATATTTTTCTACATGTACTTTTTTAAACAGAAAGAATGCTTGAATTATTTTGTTCTCTTTGATGGACAGGCCAGGCCTACTTGCAGGTTTCAGTTTTGACAGGGCTTAGCTGTGCGTCTGGCATTGCTGATGTGCATGAGGGAATAATAAAAAGTGGGCCATTAATAAAAGAGTGGGCCAAATACTTGTTTGTTTATGAAGGCAATAAAAAGCTACATTGTTACATATATACTATATTCCTATTACTATCACCCACTTTGAGATTGTGAATGTTGAAATGAATGAAGATGCTCCTATATAAATTCCTCCCATCCAGCTATGCATTTCATGATAGAGGATCTATATTGCTGAACAGCCCACAATGCAAAGCCCATGTCTGAATATTCTCACTTGAAACTCAGTTGTGTTACCAACATTTTTCAAAATGAGCATTGTAATGATTAACTAATTACATTGTATTTATGTTATGTTAAATAGTTTGAGGCGGCATGGGCGCTGACAAACATCGCCTCGGGTTCGTCAGGACAAACTCGTATCGTAGTGGATTATGGCGCAGTAAATGTACTGGTAGGACTATTGAGTGGTTCTACGGAGAACGTGTGCGAGCAGGCAGTTTGGGCCCTTGGAAACATCGCTGGAGACTCGCCCTACTGCCGAGATATTGTCCTCGCGGCTGGCGTTCTCCCTCCCTTGCTTGAGTGAGAACTGAATGCTTCTTAAAACACTATCATACAACAACACTATACAACAATATAGGATCTATAGAAGAATGCATTATTATCTCCATACTGCCATTCAATTCTATGTTTGCACAGCATTTACTTAATTATAATAGTACATTTTTGCTTCTCTTTATCAACAGTATCATTGATTTATGTATTTAAGTAAATGATTTTTTTTTTGTGTATATCCACTTCATGCGTAGCAGTCATTGCCTATCACGAACATAGGCAATGCGAGAGGTAAAGCCATGTCACTCCCTTTTTTATTGCATAGATTAGTGAACTTGGTGGTTCGCAGAGTCCATTTGCATTATGTTGTTTATCAACATAATGCAAATGTCGTCACCATCTTGGGAGGTGAGATCGAAATCTTTATTGTATTGTACAACAGCTGTCCCTCCGTTTCCAATAGGAAGGCATTTTGGTCTCGGGGCTGATATTAGCAAAATGATGGTACCTACCTACACCCAGTGTAGGTCTAACTTACATAGGGCTGTTTCACCCATCTAATATAAATAGTCGTCGCACCGAGAGCCATTTCTATGTCATGTAAAAGAGGGTCTTTAGCATCCTCGCATGTCCATGAGTGAAGGTGATCACTAACCATTAAGGCGTCCGTATTCTTGTTAGTCTACACTGCCAATAAAAGAAAGGCAGTTGTATTTAATTCACACATACATATATTTATGATTGTAGAACCCTTCATATTATATTCTTGTATATGTAGCAGTTATTGCTTTTTTTGAAGTAAGGTTTAAGGAAACAAGCGAGCCTGACAATAGGTAGATGTACCTAATTTATAAGTTTACATTAAATTTATTGAAAAACAAGTTTAAACGATAATTGTGATTTTACAGTGGCTAAATTTGTAAAATGCTTCACTATAATGTTTTTATTCATTGTCATTGTTTTGCTTTACAGCATTTTAAATAAGTACACGAAATTGTCAATGACGAAAAATGCTGTTTGGACGTTGTCGAATTTGTGCAGAGGCAAAAATCCTCCCACAAATTTCGAAACAGTTGCACCAGGCAAGTATTCTAAATACAATTATCAACATTTTCGTCCATAATTATTATAAAATATTTTTTTGTGTATCTCAGGAATGTGGACAATATAGGACTATCATAACAAATTACATTATTTTTAGCAACGTTTCGGTCTTTTACTAGACCTTCGTCAGGCATCTGAAAATTACACATATTGATAACCAACAATATAAAAAAAACAACAATTGTCGACACTACCATATTTACCATAATATGAATTTAAACAATCACTATCCTACACTGCACAATTGCCTTAGACATCAGAAACTAATACAAATCAACAAAGCCGCTAAATTAGTTAATTACTATTTTTGATTTTGGAAACAACATTCTAAATACATTTTTATATCAATCATATAAATCAAATATTGTGTAGTGGTTCATTTGTTTGTTGTTGTATAAATGAATTGCTGTTCGTTAGTCTCGCTAAGAGAACGGCTGGACCGATTTGGCTAATTTTGATCTTGAATTACTTGTGGAAGTCCAGAGGAGGCTTAGAAGTAGATAAATATGAAAATGCTCGGAAATAAATAAAAATAACAATTTTATTTTTCCTTTGATGTCCCCCCCGTCGGACGCATTCCTTTTTTAAGTTTATTTTATACAAAAGTTTAGGTCTTTTATTTATCGATTGAGGCACTACGAAGTCTGCCGGGTCAGCTAGTGTTAACTAAATAGTTAATCATTTATGTTTTAGCTATTCCAGTATTAGCGCGTCTTCTACATCATACAGATGCAGACGTTCTGAGCGACGCATGTTGGGCACTCTCATATTTATCAGATGGTCCGAACGAGAAAATTCAAGCTGTGATCGATGCCGGTGTTTGCAGAAGACTTGTTGAGCTACTGATGTAAGTAGAAGTGTTTTTTTCCATACATGTTGGATTAGAATTGTTTGGAATTTACTCATTACACAGTATAGATAAAAAAAACTGGTATGGATTTGTGCGAAATGGTTTTAGATATTATTTAAGCCAAACTAAGGGGCTCGATGCGTGACGATTCTTCCCGCTTCCCTGCTCAATATCGAGAATATTTTTATAGCTGTGCGCGTTGCCCTTTAAATTTCGTTGTTACTGTTTTTTTTTGAGTGCTTATATTACATTTTTGGCTAATATATTAAATATCAATTTACCTTAAAACAATTGAACCAAAAAATTAAAAAAATAAAATAGTTGAAAAACGTATTGACGATTGCTAGAAGCAATAAATATTTATCAAGTAATTTTTTAATCAAATTGCTTTTAATTATTAAATGAAATAAGTGTGTTAAGAATTTAACATATAACCAATTCATTATAAGTAAATATAGCGGTGAACCTAAATAATATGCAATAAATAATTCCGTTAATATTGATCATAATTCTGACCTAATGAAAGTTTCCACCCGGGGGTGTCACGGCTTTGTCATGCGTCCGCCAGCGCCTTCGTTTTACATAGCGCGTTCAACAAGACAATGTAAAAAACAAATATCGCCTCTGCGTATTATAATCAATCATGAATATTATTTGTAGGCACAATAAATCGACGGTTGTCAGTGCGGCTTTGCGCGCGGTCGGGAACATCGTTACCGGCAACGACGCCCAGACTCAGACAGTGCTCAACTGCAACCCGCTGCCCAACCTATACGGCCTCTTGCAGTCCTTCACCGAGACTCTGCGTAAGGAGGCCTGTTGGACTCTCTCCAACATCACTGCCGGAAATGCCGCGCAAATACAGGTACATGCATCTCTTATTTACTTATTTATTACACTTTATGTATTTATATACATTGGCGGGTTTAAAACATTCCCTGCCAGTCAACCAAAGATGATACAATATAGGTAGATACAAAGGAAGTAATGGTAGGTGAATTTAATCATTGCACTTATGTACCTTTAAATCTAATATATAAAATTCTCGTGTCACGGTGTGCGTGATTGAACTCCTCCGAAACGGCTCAACCGATTTTCGTGAATCTTAGCGTGCATATGGGCCAGGGTGGAAAGCAGACAACATCTATTTTTCATCCCCCTAAATGTTAAGGCCCATCCCTATTTATTATTTCCTTATTATATCCTTATTTTTTTATGATACAGCATACAAAAATACATACAACCCTAAATTTTCACCCCTCTACGATCAGCCCTTATTTTTTATTTGTTAATTATAAACTTTAATTTTTTTGGCAAGATTTTCATTTTTATTTTTATTTTGTCATGAATTAAAATAAAAATCTGATATTACTCTAAATTTTTCCTCCCTCTATGATCAACCCCTATTTTTTATTTGTTTATTATAAACTATTTTTTTTTACAAGTTTTTTTTTATTTTATTTGTTATGACTTAAAATAAAATAAAATCATATTACTCTCAATTTTCACTCTTATACGTTCAACCCCTACGTTTCCATCCCGATTTTTTTTTTATTCTATGCACAGATCCGCTGTAAGGTTGCAAGATGGCAATCAAATATTATAATTGTAGTACGATAAATTCTTATTCAGAGTTTATAATTTCAAGTTCCTTTAATTATGATTTTTTTTTAAATTCAATTTGATCTCCCGCCCTCACCGGTCGACTACTGATCAACTATCAATCGATCAGTTATCCCCGCCAGGTGTCACCACTCATCCAGCAAACATCACGTAGTAGGGATGAGGACGAAGCCGGTCTCCTGTCTTACTCACTATATATTTTTCAGCCATGTTTTTTTGGTTTTATTTGTGTATCAATCATATGTGGCATCTACCTATCCAATTACACACACTAACACACACAGACACACACTAGCACACTTACTATGTATATTGTCATTTATATAATATATACATATAATAAATACATTTAATAATAACACGCACACATTTATACTACAACCATAATATTAGTATATTTACATATTTATTATAATTACACCGACATCACACGATAAAATAACGGCAATAGAATGTGCAACGAAAACGCACATTCTAACGGTATTTGCAGTGGAGTGTGCGGGGAGACAACCCCGCTCCGGCGCATCGTCCCAACCGACAGCGATTCTCTCGACTTCACGCAGATCGCATGTCGCCTATCGATAGCTTACTTATTTCGTAATTCTTTGTTTCCTGTATGTTTATTAAGTTCAGTTTCCACCCTGCTTTTCTATCTTACTATTTAATTCTATGAACTAATTATTCTTCGTCTGTGCTGTGCTACCTGTTTGTGCGTGTTCAACTTGTTGTATGTAAATAAATATTAAACCTGGACCATTAGTGATTAATTTCATTGACTTTGTGGTGCAATTTAAATCGACAAAAAACTATTTAACCTAAACATAGCTTGCCAGCCAAGTTTTTTTTGTATTATTTGTGTATCAATAGTATGTTCAATAGGTCTGAGAATCGGCTACTATCTATTTTCCATACCCCTAAGTGATAAGGGTTGTCCACCCCAAACATTTATTTTTTATTTTTATTTTTTGGATAAATTTTTTTTGGTTATAATGAGGTATTATGTGGTTGACACTAGAATTTCCCTAGAAATCTTATTTTAGGCAACACAACGTTTGCTGGGTCAGCTAGTTACCTATAAATATTTACTTTTATGTAATACTTAAGAATATATAGCTATTTTTTATAATATTAAAATATATATACATAACAATAATATTAATGCCCTACGCTTTTTTATATTTCGAACACGAATGAACAAGCTTACCTGTTAAATGGGTGTTAAAACCCACAGACGTAACTATGTGAATGACGCTACCCACCTGTAGACATGAGATCTAAGTCTCAATGATCTCAAGTCTAGAGCCAACCCTTCCAAGTCGGAAAGCGTGACTGCTTCGCGGTACAAATAGGTAGTATTGGTACCAATTCTATTGCATACAGCTATGGTCATTTAAAAAAAACATTTTGTGGCAATACCAATACCATAGAGGTATACAGATGACTTTATTGCAGACGTAAGCTTAACGTAGACAATCTTTTTTAATTTTTCTAATTTCCTTTTTTTTGTTCCACGTTTACGGTGGATCTTTCTTTCGTATATTTAATCGTGCTCGTGCTTGCGACGAGTCGAGTTTTACTGTCGAATTTCGGATATACACCAAACTTCCATGTTAGTCTTGCAAATAATTAATCGAGTGAATACCTTTTTATTTGCAGGCGGTTATAGATGCTAATATTTTCCCATTTTTACTAGACATATTGAGACACGCTGAATTTAAAACTAGGAAAGAAGCAGCATGGGCTATAACAAATGCGACGAGTGGCGGTACGAACACTCAAATAAGGTAGGTGAAAATATAATAGTTTTGGTGGTTTTAGTGAAAATACATTAGACATACAAACACATATACATTACATTAATGGTATTCAAACATACATACTCTTTAGTTTCTGTTTATTTTTGTTTTAGGTATTTAGTAGAACAAGGTTGCATACCGGCTTTATGCGATCTGTTGACGCTCACAGATGCGAAAACCGTGCTGGTAGCATTAAATGGTATAGACAATATTTTAAAAGCTGGTCAACAAACAGACCTACGGGATAATCGTTATGCGGTGCTAGTTGAAGAATGTTTAGGTAAGTACCGTGCACCTGACGATATATAAAATTCATTTTAATTGATATAGTTTGTGGAATGCAACCTTTTACGGAAAATCTTGCTGTTGAATTTTTCTGTTCCTGTGTGGCAGTGTTCAAAAAAGTTCAAAATTGAAAAGGCTAAAATATCGTCCCAAAAAAAACATTTCATAATTTTTTTCATTATATTGAAATTGCTTTTTTTATATAGGAGCCTAGAAATAATATTTTCCGAACTAAAATTAAACCAAAACTAAAACCGTTAAAAAATTATTTACATCATAATATTATGAACATTATAATCACATTAGAGTTCTAATTTCTCTTGTAATTTAAGTTTTTTAAACGCTTATATCTGACGGAAATAGACGGATGGTGCTAGCTGAATGCGATTAATATTGATAACCTCGCTCCTAAAAGTGCATTTACTCTGTCACCTGATAGAGAATGGTTACCATTGCTCATGAACGTCAGCAATGCCACAGCAAAGCCGCTAATAAATAAACAATCTGGATACCAGTATCCGGCCTATTTTTTTCATGAATTATTTAACCGTACATTACGAATTGAAGGGTAGGACGTCATTCAATACAATTGAGACATGTGTTTGGGTTTTGATACAAACATAATAGGTCTCGTCTGCCCATTTAAAGAAAAAAAAAGTTAATTTAATAACATGTTTAACAAAAAGTTACTGGATTGTGTAAAGAGCAGTTACTTCCAGACGATCAAGGAAAACAACTTGAAATCTGTTCTGAAATAGCTACGAAACTCTTTGTTGTATTGTTAGCTATACAGACGTCAATCTTTGTGTCCTTACTGGCGGCGGCTTATCCACGTGTTACGTGCACGTGCCGTCACATTAGGTACGACGAGCTAACCGTCCGTTCTAAATAACAGTAAAAAAGTATATAGACGGCTATTTTGTTATGTTTTCTTGCTCTATTTTGTAAGTTGTCGTAGCCTAAAGGATAAGACGTCCGGTGCATTCGTATCTTGTGATGGAACGGTGTTCGAATCCCGCAGGCGGGTACCAATTTTTCTAATGAAATACGTACCTAACGATTGTTCACGATTGACTTCCGCGGTGAAGGCCGGTTATAGTTCACGTCGAACCCGTCGCTTGCGACGAAGCGCTCGACGAGTAAATTAACCCTCAGACACAGCCCACTGAGTTTCTCGCCGGATCTTCTTAATGGGTCGCGTTCCCGATCCGGTGGTAGATTCTGCGAAGCACGGCTCTTGCTAGGGTTCGTGTTAGCAACGTCGTCAGGTTTGAGCCCCGTGAGCTCACCTACTAGTTAAGGTTACTCTGATATAGTCTCTCAAGGCTATCAGCTTAGGTAGAAAAAAGAAAAAAAAACGCGGTGAAGGAATAACATCGTGTAATAAAAATCAAACCCGCAAAATTATAATTTGGGTAATTACTGGTGGTAGAACCTCATGTGAGTCCGCACGGGTAGGTACCACCATCCTGCTTACTTGCTCTGCAGTGAAGCAGAATGCGTTTCGGTTTGAAGGGTGGGGCAGGCGTTGTGTTGTGGGGAGCTCCAGTCCACCCATCTATGCAATAAATAAAATCTATGACAACTTACATATATCAAAGCACGAAATTCATTTACTCTCGAGTTTTATTAGATTTTAAATAAATTTAAATGGTGCTTACTATTGTGTATTGTTTAAATTGTTATAAAATAGCAATGTAAATTTGGGAATCCCTATTTTAAAGTCGTATAATTTTAAATTGACTTGTTTTTCATTTTAACCCTGGCAGTCAAGTAAATGGTCTTATGCACGCTTGACCGCTGTCTTTAGGCTTAAACAATAAATATTTAATATTTTTGGCATATTTATGAAACATTGAATATTTACAATTAAATCTTTGAAATATTTCAGGATTGAATAAAATCGAATTTCTACAATCCCACGAAAATCTCGACATTTATCAAAAATCATTTGAAATTATCGAAAATTACTTCGGGTCCGAGGAGGAAGATGGCAGATTGGCGCCAGCTGTGTCTTCCACTACCAATCAATTTCAGTTCAACACCGACCAATCGGTGCCCATGGGCGGCTTTCAGTTTTAACATACGCTTAACTTCGCTTTTTACGACGTCATTGTTAAGTAAGTTTAATGTTTAATGATGCGAAAGCAGTGTGTGAATATTGTGTCTATTGATCTATGTACGAGATGAAAATATTAATTCATTCAGACAGAGGTCAAAATGCCTTGATTCGTGACAAATTAGTTAAATTAATTATATATTTAGTTAATGAAAACCTGTCGCGCTACTCTGCGATTATTGTTAGATGTACGAAATCATCCTTTATGAAGAATTTCCACGCCACCTCTCGTACCTTAATTTCGGTCACTATGGACAGAAACTTATTATATGAGACGTGCGAGCACATAGATCTCTCCAAGTCTTACAAACAATCTAAACACAAATATGCACAAACTCGATATAGCATTTTTTTAACTATCTCAAATTAATACAATACATACAAGGGTGTCTTAAAACGGTCCGACTTACTACAAGTAAAGCGCTCGGGAAGGCGTCGTTCGCTAGGACATATTACATTTTTACCCACACTGGGGAGCCGGTCACCGTCCTCGTCGAACCCGTCGCTTGCGACGAAGGGCTCGACGAGCGAACTAACCCACAGACACAGCCCACTGAGTTTCTCGCCGGATCTTCTCAGTGGGTCGCGTTTCCGATCTGGTGGTAGATTCTGCGAAGCACTGTTCTTGCTAGGGTCAGTGTTAGCAACTCTCCGGTTGAGCCCCGCGAGCTCACCTACAAACGTTAGGGTGAAGCTGACATAGCCTCTCAAGGCTATCAGCATAGGAAAAAAAAAAAAAAAAAACCGAGGATAGAAACACGTATTCTGCGTTCGCATCATCATCGCAGAATCTGATAAGGCTTAACTGCAATAAATTCGGTCAGGAAACAATACAAAAACCAAGCGATATATTCTTACAAGAGTCTCATGGAGTCTACTGGACGCAAGATAGCTGTAATTCATCATGGCCGTCCACGAGTATCACGAAACGTAGTTGTGAATCTTTAAAAGCCGCTACTTCGGTTCAACAGCAGGAATGTGGCCCTCAATTGAGCCAAGTATCGAAATGGACGATTTAGCGTAATATTGGTATTTAAGTTTTGGCCAAAAATCTCTTTAAGTTGTGCAATCTTTGAACTATGATGGTTTTGTTACGTGATTATGTTACGATGAAGAATTGCAACATTTCCTTCAGAGCGATAATGGCCGCTCCTAATTACCCAAGAACATCAATCGATATTAAATCTGCTTTTAGATAGTTATGAACGGCTTTACATCAATTTCTGTTGTATGGCCATAAATTTTTTTGGAGAGTCGGCACTGCATTAAAGGCTATAGGGCATAGCAATCACGGTAATCTCATTGCCGTATGTCGCCGTAATGACATTTTTACTGGTGACAGAGCATTTAGTTATTCGTGCGGGTAGGTTCCGGTTTGCAGGGTGGGGCATCGCCTACATAATGCAATGGAGACTTTAAATCCTCGTCTCAAAGTAGATGGCATTTACGTTATGATGTGTATGCGGTCTGTGTGTCCTAGTGTTTTTAACAGCTCTGGATGGTGAGGTAATTCGCTCATCACAAGTAATGAAAAATCCGAGAACGTGAACATAATAATCGGTTGATATTGTTTCGGTAGGAGTCACGTTACCACAAGATTGACTAATCGCAGCTATACTACGCGGATTGTTTTCTGGTTAGGTCATTTCACAATCGCTTCGAAACCCCTGATTTTAATATACCAAATATTTTCTTTTATGTCTAATAAACATTAAGGCAATAATCTTAGAAAATGAAGATACACAACGGAAGAAGAAGAAAAAACACAGATAAGTTGCTGGACGGACTACTTGTAAATTCGTTATTTTTATTTTCAAAAGTAATTTGGATTCGTATCTTCATATATGTACGTACTAATCAATAATAATGTCGCTTTTTTATTAATTAGATAGATAGCTGGGCAGTTCTGGGTCTCCCTGTATAACTAATAACTATGACAAAAATAATTTAGCAGTACTTACTTTGTTTCAGATTTCTGTCTAAAGAAGTCAGTAGAATCAGTATCTACTTCATGATTACTATAGATGTAGAACGTACAGTCTACTCATTTGTAAAATTAATTGCACTTATGTATAGATTGTTTTAAATTATATTAACAAAGTTGTCTTTTATAATGTTCATTTTGTAGATAACATTGTATGTAGGTCATTTGTATTGTAGTAAAACATTATGTAACTATACCTATGGTATTTTATTATTGGCTTCTGAGTCTGCCTTTTTTCTAAAACATGTATATTTTACATGAAACATGAATATATTTTTTAAATGATCCTATTACGATATTCTTTATTTGTTACCGCTCCTTTGATTTTCATTTTAAAGGACCTGTTTAGTTTTGCTTTAGCATATAAAGGACTTGTTTTTTGTTGTAAATAATAAAATAGCTGTCCTAAAATAAGTTTTACTAGACTTTTACTGTCGCTTTTTGTTAATATCGATGTTTAAATTAATAAACTATCTTTTCATTGGTTAATTTGAGGTGTTGATAATGATATTAATTAAAAAAATGTTAAGTTTCAACAAAATAAAAGGTCTTATTTATTTTTTAAGAACTGTATAATTTAGTATTATGAAAATGAATTGTGATCATTGACAATAGTGGCAATGTCGTAGGAGCTTTAAATTTTTTAATCATCATATAGTAACCGGCAAACATCTTGAGCAAATGACCTTGACAGCGCAGAACCGAATTTTAGATCTCTTTGGTGGTGAGGGTGAGGCTCGACGGCAGGGGAAATCGTATCGACCGCGTTATTGGTAGATCAGTCGAACCTTGCGCCCCGCACCGCGCCCTCGTTCCGCTTGCTCCCAAAAGTACGCTTGCGTACAGTGAAAAGTCTATCGTTATTAATCGTTAAGTTATTTGTTATAATAGCTTGTTGACTTTGTTGCCATTGCTATTTGTTGAGTGTTTGTTGATTTTTTATAAAAAATACACTATGCCGTGACAAACTGGTGTAGTATTCAAAAGAAAGGGTAGAAAAATTGTGTACGACGTATATTGCTTCATTATAAAACAGTGGAAGAATTATATGGAAAAAGTAAAACAGACTTCGGAAGCAACAAAAACATCAGTGAGTACTGTTAGGTGCACTATTAACGAAGCTAAAGGCTCTGGTTTGCTCGCCGTGTTTTGAACTCCGGGTAAGAAAAGATCAGGGAAGAAGAAAGTTACCGGAATGAATAGTTTCGTTCAATCTATAATAAAAAGATGTAATCATAATAACTACATAACAAGCAGCGAAACTCCGTACCGTAAAAAGGCTTCGAAAAATTTCAAGAAGATAGGTATACATTTTAATGGCTCGGAGTGAAGTTTACGACGAATTATGAAAGAGCTTGGCTTCAGATGGAAAAAAAACAGAAAATAATCAGAAGCTGGTAATTGAAAAAAGTAACATTCGATTACTACGAATCGAATATCTTCAAAAAATTATTAATTATAGACAAACAAGAACATCGAGCCGACCGAGTTGTAAACTACACCGATGAGCCCTATGTCGACTCATTACGATGATGGCGACTCGAGTGATGAAAACAGTGATGATGACGATGGTCAAGATTATGATAACGAAAAAAAATTACAAATACTAGCTTCGCTTCAACTGAGCCAAGACCTGGCAACAGCTCTAGTTTTGACTTAATAAAAGGAATCTATTTTACCCCAAGATTAAATTATTACAATTATTAACCTATATTTTTTGTTGATGTTCTAATAAATATATAAATAAATACATATGTTGATTTTAATAATTTAATTCCATTATGACGCAGAGTAAATAATGTTTTTGCACGTGAGTGTACCATGCGCAAACTTACCCCCATTACGTCAACAAATGCTCAAGAAGTTTGCCGGCTATTATACCTAAAGTTTGTTGTAGTTACCATGACACACCCAAATCGTTAAAATAAACTTGAGCTCTAAGGAATGTATGATTTTCGTATAATTGGTCCCAAAATTGCATTCTCTCTAGAAACGGGTTTCTTCCTTTTGTTAATTCTGACCCAATACTCAAATAGTTTAATTTTTCACTGCTCTGAACAGGGTCCCAAGTTATTTGAAGTAATGGATCATCGCTTGCTGGTGTAGGATTTCTGTTAATATTAATGTATAGAAAAATATGAATACAGTATATATTGTTAAATTAATTAAGCTGTAATAAAATATAAATAACCTACCCATATTTTGCAAAATTTGTCCACATTTTTACGACTCTACTTCTTGTTTTAATAGAATCACGACTTCCTTTGCACACTGCTTCATTGAGCTTTCCTGGTACTTTAATCCCAAATACAAATGGTATTTCAGCACAATGTCCAAGTGAATTGAAAAAATTCAAACTTTCCGGAACACACCATTCTCCAGCATAAGTAAGTAAATAGTAATATATTGGGTATTCATGCGAGTATTGACTGTGTAGTCTTACAGTTTTATTGACGTGATACAGAAAATAGTAGTCACTTATTAGTTGCAAATATTGGGCTCTTGTGTCTTCACGTAACAGCTCATCACCACCCAGATAAAACTTTAGTAACTTATTACCAATATTTTTTGACTGTGGATCTTCTCCAGCAAGTGACTTAGGTACAAGCAGAGAGACATTTTTGTTGTACTTCTCAAAATCATAGAAATCATCTTTTACAAATTGTATCACAGCTCCTTCTATATTGTTACTACCTATAATTATAGGTACTTTATTGTAATTACCTGATTTTATTAGAAAAATGGGCCTTTTAGAAAGAAATGCAGGTTGACCCTCAAATTCAACTTCAATACATGGTTTGAAGACTGCATCCATGATATTATTATCTTGAACGATACAGAATTCAACGTCCATTTTTCTACAGGCTATAACAATTTCATTGGCTGGTTTTAGTCTTAATTCATCAATTATTTCAATATAGCATGTTTTGTTTATGCCTAGTAATTTTGCTAATTCCTTAACAGGCTGTGTAGGTTGATTAGCCAAAGACCAATTATTCAAAACACAAGCACTTTGAATTATTGCTTTGTGAAATAAGCCAGTTGCCATTGGTGAAAACATCATAAAATGTACCATGACACCTCCAGAACTATTACCAAATATTGTTACATTGTTTGGGTCTCCTCCAAATGTATCAACGTTTCTTTGAACCCATTTTAATGCTAGGACCACATCTTTTAGTCCACAATTCCCTGGAGCTGTAAAATCATTGATAGAAAGAAATCCAAATGCTCCAAGCCTAAAGCCACATGTTACAAATACAACATCTTGATTATTAATTAGGGAAGTGTCATATAAGTAATCCATATTAAATGAAAAACCATAACTTCCAATCCAAAACATTACGGGCATAAGTTTCTTCGGCTTAAGAGTTGGGGTTGAAACTTCAATATATAGACAGTCTTCAGAGCCAATTATATGTTCATACTTAAATGACCAAGTCAAAGCCATTGGCGGATCTTGGGTGCAGTCTTTTTCATTAGTCCAAGGAGTGGCAGGGAGAGGAGGCTGAAATGGAAGGTTTCTTGAAATTATTTATTTTCAATGCGATGGTCAGTTAAATACCCATAGTTAACCAAAGGATTTAGAATTTGAAATAAAGAAATAATTTTCATTTTTCAACAGTTTCAAAGGGTTAACTAGCGTCACTGAATAAATAAACAAAAGCTTCTAAATTTTCAGCAATGAGAGATGGTATGAAGTGCTGGAATGAAAATAACAAAGCTTTCAGTAATTAGGAAAAAATAATTTGAACAAAAAGTATCTCAATATTTTTTTTTTACTATGCGTATTAAGCAGGCAACAAACAGTTGATGAAGATTTAAATTGGATGAATGAATGTAGAAATTGGTGAAGAATTTGTCAATAACAAAAAAAGCGGCTGTTGTATCTATATAGTGAGAAAATAATTTCCTTCGGGAAAACTGATCTTTATCGGAATACGATGACACCCGAACTGTCAATGAATGATCGTAGAGTTCGTCTTACGAAAGAAGTCCCATGGCGATAAATGGAACTAATTAGACAGGGCGGCCATGTTTGTCGTTATCAGGTACTGTCAAGTGCTGGTGTGTTCGTTACCATTGCGTTTTTTATTCATTTGTCGTATTTAAACTATTATTTACGATGCCTAAAGTTGTAAAAAGTGCTGGTCGAGAAATAATATTGAAGGTAAAGGAGTTTTGTGAAACAGAACAGAAGAACCAAGGGGTTTTAATACCAATAAACAACGTTCGTAAGAGAGTAGCCGCCATGACGGGTATTTAGTTTGGGATACAAGTTATGTGATTTTGACCATTTTATTTGGGACTTTTTTTATGCTTTCGTACATATTGTTAGATTAAAGTATTTTATTATTTGTTTAAGAAATAGATATTTCATTAAAGTTTATCAACACTATTGAAGATTCTGAAGTGCCTATTTGTTTTATATCTATTAAAAAAAATCTGGTGCGTCTGAGAAAACAGTTTCGAGGATAACACAAGAAGGAAAAGTAGCGGCTAGTATAGGTCTACCAGAATCTGACGGCAAAAAAAAAGTTAAAAAATAGCGATTTTCATATGGCAACAAAAAAAATTTTATCTGTCAAAACTGAAATTTCGAGGAATGTTTTTGGTTTGGCTTCAAATTTCCTTTAAAAAGTGGTGAAAATGTCGAAGAAACCTCTTCGATCGAAGAAATATTGTTTTCAATGTTTATCAAAGAATACTTGATGAACAAGGTGCAGAACAAACACAATCATCGATATGAGCCATGTGCAAGCGTTGATGGGTTAGTAGGAATGACACGTCTTTAGGAGTGGGTGATATCGGTTTTGCCGCGTATCGAATCGTATCTATATATCGAGGATCAATATCGGATATTGAATCTATATATTTTCTGAATCTATATATTGATGGATGCTAGTAGATTTTCTCGATTTTTGAGATTTGAGATTTAAAACGATACGCTGATATAATATCGTAGTAGATATAGATTTAAGTCAATTTATAATATGATCATAAAGTAATAAAAAGAACATGAAAATAAAAATATCAAAAAAACTTTCCTTCATGCTTTTACCAGGCTTAGTACTGGCTACATTATTTTCAGTTTTTAGTATTTTGTGTCTTAATTTAAAATTACAAAATATACCAAAAGAGTAGATAGATTGTAGTTGTAGATTTCAAAAGTTTAATACAAACACAAGAAATAAACTCAATTATTTGGATTCAACTAAAAATAGAAAAATGTGTACTTTAAAAATCAAACACAAAAAACTTTTAAGTATTTATAAACACTTGTCCAAAAATCCTAGTTCAAGGTCAAAGCGCGTGAAATTAAATTCAACGATGCAAATAGGCTATACTACATTCAAGTTAGGGTCGAAAGTTGAAACTTCTTTCCTTAATTGTATCCTGCTGATACGCTAAGAATAATCTACAGACATATGGACTTAAATATAAGGTTTACAATTGTATGGATAATGCCTGTTTCTGTTTCATTCATCACATGATATCCCTATCGTGCGCTCACTCACTCTGGCCGATTCGACACGAACCAAACGAATATTGCTGATATTAACGAATCGGTACGATATGCCGATGCGCATCACATCGAGCAATATCGTGTATCGGCTGATATCGAAATATAGATTTCGATTCACGAATCGGTACGATATGGCGATGCGCATCACATCGAGCAATATCGTGTATCGGCTGATATCGATATATAGATTTCGTGCGGGGCGATATCGGATTCAACGATATTGCTGCGATATATAGATATTGAATCTATATACGATTTATATCACCCACTCCTACACGTCTTGATACTTTGGTTTATTGCATTTTCGTGTGTATTATGTATACTAAACTTTGGTTTATTTCAGATGTTTCTAATACTACCATAAAACTAATTGTTGCTGAAGGCAGATCTAACAGAGGCGTATTTAGTACGCCCGGTAAAAAGAGGAAAGGTGGCAAAAATACTGCGTCTTTCTCGTCTTCCTCTTCCGATGAAGACTTTTTTATGGATGTTAAGTATTTGGAACCATTTTCAAGTTCTGATAGCCTATAATTAATTAATTAATTAATGAACAGAGTAATTGGAGTTTTCGTCTAAATTTCGAACACCACATTCGCCACAATAAGATTTTCAAAAATTATCTTTGACCATTGTATAAATGTTTATATTTTACTCAAATTTTCCCAGTATTGCTAGCGTCAATTTTTTTTTCCTTTTTGCCATCTGATCCTGGTAGACCTATTACATCGAAAAAGATTGTCACACCAGGGAAGAGTCGTCCAAGTGCGAAAAAAATAGATTTGGATGAACTCGATCTATGTGCTATTCGCCATAACATTCACCAGTTTTACACGGTAAAAAAAAGGACTTCCTACTTTAAATAAATTACTCGCAGTGTTAAAAGAAGACATTTGGGTTTGAAGGAAGCCGCACCGCGCCACGCTTCAGAGAATACTGCAAAGTATTGGTTTTAAATACAAACGATGCCAGTCAAAAAGGAAGTTATTAATGGAACGGTACGATATGGCGCGCTAGATACATATAAAATATGAGAAAAAATCGAACCGTAGAGAAAAGACTCGTGGTGTTCCTGGATGAAACCTATATCCATAATACATATCTGAAAATGGTTTTGTTGAGAATGCTCTATTAATTGTTAATCCCAGTCAAAGTCACCAGATTATCATGACGATATGAACTCCGGTAATTTTCTAAAGTGTATGACTGAAAGGTAATCCCAAATTTGCCTGAACAGTCATTTGTGGTTATGGACAATGCTCCATACCACTGCACACAGCTAAACAAAGCGCCAACAATGGCAAATTTAAAAAGTGAAATGCAACAGTGGTTGCATAAAAAAAAATATTAATTTTGAACTGACCTGGACGAAAGCCGTATTGTTTGATCTAATTAAACAAAGTCAACCACCTTATGCCGTAGATGATTTTTTTAAAAGCTACAACCAATTCTGAGATTACCTCCATATAAAATATGGAGTCTTGCAAAAAGACGCGTGGCTGAGAAAAATGATGACACAGGACCCAATAATTTTTTTTAAATTGACGGAAGATGCGCTTACAACCGTGACTCCAGAAGATTGGTTTGTTCAGTGCAAGCATGTGGAGCATTTAGAGGATATTTTAGGAATGACGGGCTGATGGATGAAGAAATGGACCGGATTATTATATCAACAGCAAGTGATAGTGAAACAGAGTCGTATCCTACCGGCTAGTCCCGCCCCTTTCCCCTCCTATATCAATGAAACTTTAAAATTCGAGTTTGAATCGTGCGCATCAAAATTATGCGATCGCGAAAAGGTAGTGAATATTGAGTGCAGCTAATTAAGTACTTAAGTACTTAATTACTTAAGCAGCTAATTAATATAGCATCGCATCTAGATAGCGCCCCCGATATATAAACTACTCAAAACAAAATAGGGCCCACTTTAAGTTAATCTCGAATTTCGTCTAAAAAAAATTGTTGGGTAGTAAATAGTGAAGTTAAGCATTTCGAAGTATTGTTGACATGTTTATCTAACGTTATCAATCTTTCAAGTCATGAATTCAATGGTATGTAGACAAAAAAAGAGAAGTACTCCAAAAAACATTTATTACTCAAATTCTCAGTCACTTGTACCCTCAGTCACATTCTGAGTGTTACAGTCGCACGTCTACTTTTTTCATTTTGACTTGATTTCGGTGTTACTCGCGATCATTATGCCTGGTTCTCGGCGTCATATGGATGTGGAAACAGCAACAAGAGCAGTGTTTATGCTTTAGGAGGGAGAATCTCAGAGATCAGTGGCAAGACGTCTTGGTGTGTCGCGACGAGCTATTCGAAACGCGAGGGAACGTTTTTTAGAGACAGGTAGTATCACGAGGAGACCTGGATCAGGACGAGTGCGAGCTACAACCGTCCAGGAAGACCGGTATATCAGATTGACTGCACGTCGAGAGCGCACGATTCCCGCCCGCGTCTTACAAAATTGACTGCGGCAATCGACTGGCACACGAATCGGTGATCAAACCATTCGAAATCGGCTCCATGAAGACGGACAACGTTCCAGATTTCGTGTTATTCGTCTAAAATTGACAAGAGCGCATCGTGCAGCACGTTTGAGGTTTGCTCGCGAGCATGTGAAGTGGACAATGGACAATTGGAGAAATGTACTCTTTACGGACGAAAGTAAAGTGAAGTTTTTCCGCGATGATCGTCGAGTGCGCGTGTGGAGAAGAGAAGGAGAACGTTTTTCAGAACCTTGCATACGTGAAAGGGATCGTTTTGGAGGTCCAAATGTTATGGTGTGGGCTGGAATAAGCTTGTTCGGTAAAACTGAGCTGGTAATTCTGGAAGAAGGCTCCATAACTGCCTCCCGGTATGTCGATCGAATAATTTGGCTCCATGTCATCCCATTTTCACAAAGAGTGGGTGAGAACTTCGTCTTTATGCAAGACAATGCTCGCCCACATACAGCGCGAACAACACAGAGAGCTCTCTCTGAAGCCAATATTACGGTTTTACCATGGCCGGCCATGAGTCCCGATGTTAACCCTATTGAACATTTATGGGACCAATTGAAAAAAAGCCTCAAATCAAACTTCAGTAATGTGACTAATCGACAAGAGCTCATAAACGCCCTAAAATTGTGTTGGGAGCGAATACCCAAGGAAAACATCACCCACTCGATTGAAAGTGTCCCAGACAGATTCAGAGAGTGCATATGGAATAGAGGTGGACCTACTCGCTATTAAGCACCATCAAACTCATTGATTTAGTCAATAATAAAAATCAAAATCAAACTTTACTTAAATCAATAATTTCTGTCAACTTTCCTAAAAACTGTAAATATTGACTAAAGTCCATAAAATTAGCAAAACTTACTCTTGTTAATGTTCACACACTTTCGAAAACCTTAATTTATTCATTCCTAATCATAAAAATTGAAAAAAGAAAAAGAATCTGTAAAATTTATTTATAAAACATGGTGGGCCCTATTTTGTTTTAAGTAGTTTATTAGCTGCTTAAGCTAATTAAGTACTTAAGTACTTAATTCGACTCGAATTTAAAAGTTTCATTGATATAGGAGGGGAAAGGGGCGGGACTATATCGATGCGCTCTCAGTTACGTTCAAAAACATCAATGCTAATTATCCATTGCAGATAGCGTAAACAGTCTGATGACGAAAATAATATGGATGACTATGATTCAGACACTTACTGTTGTCTGTGTGGAATAAACCCAATGGGTGACCATAATTATGTTGTTTGTGTGTTTTCTTTCTTTTATGTATACATAAAATAACGATTTGTTCAATTTTATTTACTACCTGCGCCACTAGCACTCCACCCTTTAACTAGGGGATTGTTGGGGAATTCAATAGTAAACGCTGGCAACATTTCGTCGCATGACTGCAGCGCCGCGTCTGTGGGACTTCTTTCGTGAGACGAACTTTATTAGATGAGTGAAATTTTCATATCCATTAGTAAGGAACTTTATTGTTTGGTGTTAAATAACAAAATGAATAATGTCATTGTATAATATAGAGATGTTAGAACCATAAAAATTATTACTTAAAACGGGATATTTACCAGTGTATTACTATACGAAATGAGTTCCCGATATTATTAAGTAATAATTGTTATGCTCGTGACCATGTTAGTTCCAGTAGTAGTAGGCAGACCATGTTATTAGTAAACAAAACATTATCTCAACTTTAAAACCTAATTAAAAGTACAACAAAATAAAGCGTATTAAGAAATATTTACAATAATAAAACTCAATACCTGCCTAAATTTTGTCATTGGCGTCCCTCTCGTATCTAAGTAAATAACCTGCGTGTGAGAGGAATGCAATCGACATACAAGGCTTAAAATTTTATTAAAATTAAAATTTAGCCTACTGCATATTTAGATTGATGTTTTCAATATTTTCCATTTCACAATTTGATTAACAGTCAGACATATCATCGTCAGATTCGTCGGTGCTTTCATTGACGTCAACAATCCTATCAATGTGATCATCCATCGAGTGTTCCTATGAGTAATATTTATTTTTACATTTGATAGCATGATCGCAAACTTTCTTCCATTCATTCGGGCCAATGATATTCATTTTTTCTTCAATATTTTTTTTACTGTACTCGTATTCATGTCTATGTTCCTTTTTGATACGTAACCTTTTATCTATGACCATATTATTATGTTTTCAATAGGGTTGAAGTCGGGGTGGTATGGTGGTAACCTTAAAACTTCGTGTCAATGTTGGTGACAATTTTTTAAATGAAATATTCTACAGTCTTCTATACGTCGAAAAATAATTTCGTATACTTGTATTTTGGTTAATAGTGAATTATGGGAAATATTGCATTTTTGTAACCAGTTTATCATAAACGGCTTTGCGGTACTACAGTTGGGCGGATGTTCCACATCTTTATTGTGATAAGCATCATTGTCTACTACTAAAACAGAATTTGAAGACAGGTTGGGAATAAGTTGATTCCGTAACCATTTTTCGTAATTAACATTATTCATGGCATCGTGGTAATCACCGGTTTTCACATCAGTAGACTTGTACATATGTAGAACACCCGGTACAAATCCTTTGGCACTACCTGCATGTACTATAATACTACAGCACTTTCCTGTTAAAAGGGATGTGTGAACATAAGTTTCGTCAGTATACACAATATCTCTGCCTTCAGATCTGTACTTCCCTATTAAGTCAAGGTACGTTACTTTTTTAAGTTTAACGTCATCTCTTTCTTCAGTATTTTCCTATTATTAGTAAACCCATTTGGCGAAATATTCTTCTTAGTGTAAAATCACATCCTTTGAAACTCATCGTTTCTATTAATTTGAACTTTAGTGCCTTTATTGTAGGAACTTGTCTATAAATGAGATGAAAGTTGTAAACCATCGTATCACTGCATAATCAAAATCATCAAGATCTAGATAGAACTTCTTGCGTGGTCTACCCAGCTTAATTTTGTGTGTTGGTATTTTTATTGTGTATTCTTCTTCCTGGTTCAAAAAAATTCTTATTGTTTGTAGATAGATATGCCGGTTGCGTCCGAAATTCGCTGTAGAACTTTGCCAAAATACTCTGAGTTCTTGCTATTTTTGAATTTGCTGTTTTCCGTTATGAAGTATAGGTAAATGTAAAATATAATTTCATGGGCTGGATTTTTTAACAGTTTTCGAGGTTTCGGCATGGCTATAGAACCTTTTTATAAGTAATCTGAAAATATGATTAGAACTATAGCGAATATTTGAATTGCGTATTATCCACTCTATATATATATATATTGGTTTGCTGATGCGACTTACCCCTACGGCTCAAAGATGGGTATTGAAGCTATTTGAGACAGCACGATAAATACGAACTTTTCCGAAAAATTACGAAGGAAAATCTTTTCTCACTATATGTATAACAAGTTTAAATTTTTACTCATTAAAATTCTGACGTTTCGGGTCTTTATGTAACACATTAAAATTTTTATTTTCCAAGGAATCTAATCAATAGCTTTTAATACAAAATTTTCAACTATTTTTTACCTATAACATTTAAGTATGTGCGTATTTTACGCCTTTTTGTCATAGTGCCATCTTCCCTTGTAGTCTTATGATCTTGCTATGATCAATCACGTGAGTGGACGCATGCCTGGATGAATCATCGAATCTCTGAAGTGATCTATTAATATAATTTAGATCTTAACACAAGGATTAAAGTAAAATTTGAAAAGTTTGTGTTTTGGCATATCCACTGTCACACTACCTACTCGGACAGTTTGTGTGAATAAATTCAGCTGTGATTTCGTGATACTTTTCTAATTTATTGCTCATCAATTAATTATTCGTAACTTTAGGGGCTCATACATACTAAGCGGTTACTCACAATGTAGTCAGCCGGCTGACTGCAAGTAGGAATTTATACGTAAAATTTATATCTAGGCGCACTGTGATTAGGCTACCTGCTAACCACTCTTCAAAGAACTGTGGCCCGCATAGCATCCAACCGGACACTATTTGCACTGTGCGACTGCCCGAAAATTTATTGAATTTGTAACAAATGGTTTTGAAAATGGTCAAAAATGTTTAATGCACGATGAGCATTGGTAGTAAATTGTAAAAAATATCTTAAATTATTTTTAGTTCTCCTATGTTTCAAATTCTTGCTCTCATCTTGTGTTTACAAATGTTGATGCTCCAGTACTGCTATCTTTGTTTTCATAACATAACACGTGTTAATGTTTTTTTTTTCTATCAATTCACTAGTAGCCTAAGGAGCTATTCCAGCTACACTATGGCTGGTAGGTGAGCTCACGGAGCTCAACCTGAGAGCGTGTATGAAGGGTTTTGTCCTTTATCAAGTCAATTAATATCAATTTATTGTGTTATTTTTGTGCATAGTAAGGGTCACATTCAAATTTAACTGGGTTGAGACTACAGAATGTGGCAATTTGTCGACAGCATCATTGGCTCGTCAATCATAAACTATAACTCCGAATAAGTAGGTATATTCGGCGAGATCCTCAATATTGCAGTACAAGGTGTTTCGAAATTGCCACCTAACTACTTTTAACCCCCAATTGTGCTCAATCGCCTTTATATATGGTATATTCAGTAGTTGTTATTTATTTAGAAACATTTATTGTGTATAAAGAAAGTATAACTTCAACGTACAAATGTTCGTAATAAAATACACATTCAACCTATGCTAATATTATAAAGATGAAGAATTTGTTTGAATGTGCTAATCTCAGGAGCTACTGGTCCGATTTAAAAAATTCTTTCAGTATCAGATAGATCATTTATTGAGGAAGGCTATATAGGATAGGCTATATGAGATAACGCTAAGACCAATACAAGCGGAGCACCAATAAAGAATAATTTAATTTTAAAGAAAATTCCCCTCACTTGATTTTAATGAGTATCTCGCTATGAGTTTTAATGAGTAGGTATAAGAAGACATTGCTGTTTTAAAATAACATCGCAACAAAATAATGATCAAGCCCGTTATATTGATGTACAAGGCGCCGGCACAGAATAAGAAGAATAACAAGAAACAGCCAAACCACTTCAAGATAAGCTTTGAAAATTATAGATTTTTCTGGATTTCTTCAGGATTCCATCATCAGATCTTGATGATTACAGGACCATTCGGGAAGTCTACCCTTTCGAACAAAAAACAGAAAAGAGAATTATCAGAATCGGTTCCAGCATTCTCGAGAAATCGGTGAACATACATAGATAAAAAATGGTGGTCGAATTGATAGCCTCCTCTTTTGAAGTCGGTTAAAAAGCGTGATTTTGGTACCTTAATAGCTCCTTAACATTCTATTATTAAAAAATATTTTGACTTTCTACGTAAATGAAGAGACGGGTAAAATTTAGCTTTATGCCAAAGTAACTATTCCATGCTAAAAGCTAGTAATTAATAATCATGCATTAATGTAGCCACTCAAATAAAAACACTCATTAAATGCATAAGATATAAAACATACCTTACTTTTAATTATAAAATGAGTCTTGTCTTTTCTTTTCCTACCAAGCTGATAGCCTTGAGAGGCTATTTCAGCTTCTCCTTGACGTGTAGGTGAGCTCACGGGGCTCAAACCGGGAGTGTTGCTAACACTGGCCTTAGCAAGAGCAGTGCTTCGCAGAATCTACCACCGGATCGGAAACGCGACCCACTGAGAAGATCCGGCGAGAAACTCAGTGGGCTGTGTCTATGGGTTAATTTACTCGTCGAGCTCTTCGTCGGTGACCGATGCTTGAGGTACCTAAAAACACCGTTAATGGATCGGGAGGATCCGTATTGACGTGGTTAGGGCGACGTCGACTGTTTACCATTCAGTCCACAGGAACGGGTATGTAATTACCGGCGGCCACGACAAGAGGGTTTTCATGTCGTGCCGCCTTCTCAGAATGGCGCAATGATGCCGAATGTTACTTACTGATTGAGTCAAGCTCCAGGTCGTCATTGAGATCCACGTTCCTTAGGAACCATGATGGTCCGACGGCTATCCTGCAAATACGGGATTGAATGACTTGAAGGGGTTTCAAGTTGATGCGGGCCGCGTGAGCGAACGCTACGCTTGCATAGGTCATGGCGGGGCGTGTGTAAGTTTTGTAGAGTGTCACCTTATTACGAAAGGACAATTTACTTCGCTTGCAAATCGTAGGATAGAGGCGTCCTAATATGACCGTTTTGATGTGGTGTCAGAATGTCATCGGAATGCCTCTGTAGAGGGTAACGCCTAGATATTTGACCTTCGAGGCTTATTTTCTGTTACTGGCCGCTTGTGACGCCTAATTAGAAACTTTTTAAGCATCCATAGCTCGTTCTTTTTTTGAAATTGGTTCTTTTTTGGAATTGAGTTTTTTTTTTATTTTTTATGTTTCCTTCTTGGTTTTTCTAATATTTTGGCGGCAATTTAAAATTTAATCGGTATTTTATTTTGTTCAAAATGGGCAAAAATAAAAGTATCTATCTGAAATCGATGGTAACTTAGAGCGCATGATACAGTCATTACACGAAGCTAGCAGACAAGTCGGATTAGAAATTAACCTGAAAAAAACAAACATCATGACAAACAGTTGTAGAAGAACCATCTCACTAGAACACAAACCAATATAGTACGTGGAACAATATATCTACTTAGGAAAGCAGATAACACTGGACAACAATAGAGAATGAACTAGAGGTGGAGTGCAGAAAAAGAATTACGTGGAATAAGTTCTGGAGTTACAGAGAAGTAATGAAAAGTAACATGCCAACAGAAGTGAAAAAGAAAATGATGGACACTTGTATATTGCCGTGTCTTACATACAGATGGTACAAAGAGGCACGAAGGGCTTCAGCAATGAAGTATGCGACTAAAAAGAAGGATAGTCGCTATTTCGTAAATAACGATACTAATTACTAATATTTAATTAATATTGTTTTGTATACTTTTTTGTTGTTGTTTCTAATTAGTTGACCATTATTGTTCATACCTTAAAACTGATTTAAATGTTTCTCCGTAATGTAATATTGAAACTGCACTTGTGTAGTGGAATTTACATTTTTTTTCTAATATATGATAAATCATTGAACATATTGTAGCCCTATTTATTGTTTAATTTCAAAATAAAAACGACTGCGGTGAAGTATCTTACATAATGTTAAAGACTGTGGGTAGTGTTTCTAATTATGCGACCACCACTGTATATATAAAAACATAAAAAAATGCAACCAGGACATAATGAAGACCAAAAGTGACAGCATCATCTAGTCAAGGCCGCAGATTTTTGTTGATATTAAATAATTTTATAGCAAAATTCAATTTTTTTTTATTGGACATAAAGGCCCGTTCCATATTAAGTAGTTATTGGAGCCCGTACACATTATCGACATACAACATGAATCCCTTCACCCCTCTGAAATTTTGAGTTTGTATCATATAAAGGCTATCCTTTCAAATTGTCCATTCATGGAATAAGGATAGGATGTGGGTTACAATCAGCTTAACTATTGTATATTTCATAACTTTTATAAAGCATAGCTTGTAAATTTAAAATAGAAAACAGCATATAGTATGGTGTTTTCAACCATATTATATTTCCTCTACAGCATAACAGACCAGACCGAAATTCTCCCAGGTAAGCTTCAAGGCTATGATGAAGAGAAATACTCAAGAACAGTGCCTGAAAAATTACACAGCAATAGCTTGTAATTGCTACAGGAGCTGTTCTTTGTTAGGTATTGCCCTGTTTGCACAAATTTAATTACAGTCATGCCATACCCCATGCATTTTAATATAATTTTGTAAGTTGAGAATAATGCATTACTACTGTTGATCTAACATATGACGTAAAGGATCTGATGATAGTCAAAAATATTAATTGATGTAAATCAAACACAAAAATGAATACCAGATCCTTTTACATTGAATATCTGTATCTATCTTGCTAAGCACAGCAAATAATGCAATAAGGTGACCAGTATAATTGTTTATTTTGTTACTTCCTAGAAATTAATTGAAATCTAAATACATCAAGTGGCCTCTAAGATCAAATTTGGGGTCTTTCATGGGCAGTAATATCTTCACAAAGGCACTTTAGATATGGTATGTTCTTTACATATAAGTGATATTAATGAAAAAGTTAGCTTCAATGGTGGGGAAATAAAACAAAAATAAACAGAAAAGTACAAGTTAGCTGTAGAATCTTAAAAAAATATATCAACTGAAATTATTTTGAGTTGTATTGAATACTGAGTTAGACACACATTGGCCAATAGAGCCAGAATTCTTTTTTTACAGATTCACCAAACTCATTCAGCTTACTGACATATTGAATTTGATTAATCCTAATTTATGATGTAAATTTTTGATAGCAATTATATAATTATACTTTGCAGTCTAAATGGCATACTCCTAATTATGGTACTGGCAAAGTTTACCTTTATATGTTCATGATAACAGATTAAGAGATTTATAGTATTTCCTTATGTTTTTGGCAGTAATAGATATTATTGAAACTGCTTTTTAATAATTTGCTTGTAT